CTTTCAGGTCGCTCACAATGCATCCATTTCAAATCCCACAAATCCCACACTTTTCCTGTCACCGCCGGTGTGCCCCAAGGCTCTGTCCTGGGGCCCCTCCTCTTCATCATCTATCTTCTCCCACTCGGTCACATCCTCCGCCGTCACAACATTCACTTACACTGTTACGCCCAGCTCTACCTCTCCACTAAACCAACTCCCTCTCTCCCTCCATCCTCCGTCTACAAGAAATTCATTCCTGGTTCTCCTCCAACTTCCTCAAACTCAACAGCTCTAAAACAGAAGTCCTTCTCATAGGCACCCCCTCCACTCTCTCCAAATCGAACAGCTTCTCTATCTCCATCCATAACACATCTGTCCTCCCCTCCCCTCAGGTCAAGAGTCTGGGTGTCATCCTCGACAATTCACTCTCCTTCCAATCTCACATCAATAACATTTATTGCTCGGTCCGCCTACTTCCACCTGCGCAATATCTCTCGTCTCCGCCCCTCTCCCCCCCCACACCACCGCCATCCTCGTCCACAGCCTCGTCACCGCAAGGATTGACTACTGCAACCCTCTTCTTTTCGGCCTCCCCAACAAATCCCTCCAGAAACTGCAGCTCCTTCAAAACTCTGCAGCTCGCATAATCACCCGGACCCCCACAACTGACCACATCACCCCCGTACTCCGACAACTCCACTGGCTTCCTATTAAACAGCGCATCAACTTCAAAATACTCCTCACCACTTTCAAAGCACTTCACAACCTGGCCCCTCCGTACTTATCTGACCTCCTCCACCCTGCCACTCCTGCCCGCACACTCTGCTCCTCCTCCACCCTCACACTCTCCGTTCCCCCAGCCAGACTCATCACCGTGGGACACAGAGCCTTCAGCCGCTCTGCCCCCCAGCTCTGGAACTCTCTCCCACCTGACCTCCGTACCATCGACTCTATCCCACTCTTCAAATCCAGACTCAAAACCCATCTGTTCAGACTGTCCTACCCCATGGTCCTACCCCATGGTCCTACCCCACCTAACACACACACATCCACCATTCCATATTGTACTTTACTGTTTTATTCTGTTGCTTCTGTTTTTAATGTTTTTATTATGCTCTGTACAGTGTCCTTGGGTGTTTAGAAAGGCGCTTTTAAATATTATTATTATTATTATTTATGTATTCATTGATTGTACCTGCGGTCACTTTTCCTCTGTTCTGGGACGTCACAGGAAAAGTATCAAGTCTGGTCTGAACAATACATTTATTATGCAATGTTTTATTTGACAATTATTGCACCTCTGTCTTTGTGACCTCAATATTGCACTTTATTACATTCATGTTTGGATATATTGCAGCTCTTGTCACAGGTCTTAAATTTGACTCTGTGCACTGCAAAAAAGGATAAAATATGAGGATATAAAAGCTCAAGTTGAGTTTTTTTTTTTATCTGAAACATTCTGTGTTAAAAATATTCTCCAATGGGGCAAAGACATATTTCAAGAACTGTTGCTTTATTTTCTCATTCCAAGGGAGACTTTTTTTTATTTTTTATTATTATTATTTAAAAACAAGATCATTTTGCTTTGTCCCATTGGACAATCTTGTTTTAAGGCTCAGTCAGAATGTGCTCAAAATAAGACACATTTTGCCGAGTTTGAGTGTTTTTTGCCCCTTTTTCATAACTTTTTGCAGTGAATCACTTGGTCATTTTTTAAATCAAACTGCATCACAACCATAGCAGTTAAAAAACATAAAAACATGTGTTGAACTTGTCAATGCTCCTACATATTAGAAAAATCCAAAAAAGATGCCGTGTTTGATTTATTTTGTTTTTCACCTTGAGTTACCTTTGCGTAGGGTCTGTGCTATACAAATAACCTTTACTTGACATTAATTATACCACATTTGTACAATTTTTTGATGTATTTCTCATCACTTTTTGCAGTGTGGATGGTGATTAATTTGATGGATTTTCAGATGCTATGAATTCATGGTAATAATTCTTCCTCTCACCTCTTCTTTGTTCACGTTCACAAGATTCAAACACCAATAACAGAAACAGCAGTCCCTTCAGTGGGAAATGCAGAGTCTTCTTCAGAAAAAACTGCTGGTTCATGTTTATTTAAAACCACTGCGAGTGTGAAGTTCCCACTGCCTCCAGAATCTGTGTCAAAGTTTATTCTCTTATGTAACAAAAGCCAGCGCTGGACCCTCGGCCTCGACCTCAGGCTGGAGTTACAGCAGAGACAATGGGAAACAATAGATGGACTTTGGGCAGAAGCAGATGTAAAACACATCCATAGAAACACTCACTGAATGGACTGCAGCTGAAGCTGGAGTGAGCAACCTTTTTGTTTCATAAATAATGGGTTTGTCCCAACACAAAGTCTTGCTTAAGTGACATTTTGTAAATAAAAAAAACCAGACATTTAACTTATTAGAAAGCCAATCAGCTCTCGGTATGTATAAGATGTGTTGAGTGCGGGTAGAAGAGAGTTTGGTCGTCAATTTTTCATTTTTCTGCCTGTTCCAAAAATGGAAAAAGGCCAAAGTTAGTTGTGAGAAATAGTGATAAAACTGTTTAGAAAGTGCAGAACTCTGTAGATGTACTTTATTCATGTTTGGAAATGTAAATGTGTAATTTTATATATTAAAATTACACATTTATACATTTATATATATATTATATATCAATGCTTCTGGACCATACACTGTAAATATCACACCTATCTCCGTTTAAACCAGTGTGCCATCACTTTCACCTTCTGTGGGTTTTTCAAAATGGCCGCATTAATTGCATCAGCCCCATTCATTTAACGAGTGCATTCAAAAGTCCACAGCGGCAAAACTAGCCTGGTCCAAAAAAAAATGTACTCCTCAGCATCGACAGCGTCTGGAACGCAGCATTGGACAAAGCCACTTTTGGACCATCCTGTAAAGACGTTTTTTCGGAGGAAAATAGACGCCATACAAAAGCATTGGGTAATTCTCTTTTGGGAGTACACCTCCACCGGGAGAGAGAGATTGCAGCATGTCAGCGCACATGCTCATGGTCCTTTTGGAGCTGGGACACGCCCACACTGATATAGATATGGTTAAAAAGTGTAAATCTATTGGCAATCAATGTTTGTCAAATGAATAGAAATTTGATAAGTTGGTTCAGCTCTAACAGATCTGTTTTCAGTGCTCGTCATTCACTCTGTTCTTTCCTGTGTGTTGCAACTCTGCAATTTCCTCACAGTGGCACAAAAAAGCACAAGTAATACTATTTTTACTTTATTTTGAAAAGTCGGGCCACATGTAAAACTAGTCATTTTTTGCAATCAACTCTCAGAAGATACAAAAGAAAATCTGTCTTTACTCTTTACAACAAAACACATGGTTTCTCTGTCACTCCACATTATGTTTCTGAAAACTTTAGAAAAACGAAGCAAACCAGAAATGTAAAAGTGATGCAAGACCTGGCTGGAAAGTAATAACAGTGATTTGTCCTCGTTTGACGTGTTGTTGCTAAAGCTTGAATTTCAGGCGTCTGGACAAAGAGAATCCTCCTCAAGATACAAAACACAGATACTAGATTTGATGAAGTGGTTAAAATACAAAATAAATACATTGGAAAGCTGGTTCCATAGTAAAATATTTATTAATTTAAAAAAAGAAATAGCTGTAACAAAGGAGCACTTGAGATGGCGTGGGCCGGGCACAGAACAGTGCTTTGTTCACACGGCTTTTCACATGAGCAACAAGTTTCTAACTCGGAGACGACTTCTGAGAATATTCTTGGCTCAGTCCACACTAAACTGTAAAAACGAGCCAAATCTTACTTCAACCGGCAATAAATTAAATGTATGAAGCAAAAATTGTACCTAATAATTAATACTATGTAGGTTACAGATTTACATTAGGATAATAGTACAGGTGTGAACGAATCTGTGTTTAAGTAGAGCGCCCTCCACTGGACAAACAAGGAACTAAACAGTCTGAACATCCAGTAGCGGCCAAGGAAATTTCGGGACTTTTTTGTGTACCCAAATCTAACACATCAGTACAGTTTAGTGTAGAGTGAGCCCCCACCCCACATCCACCCACCCTCCATGCAGCACAGAACTAATTTTTGTATTATATTTTTTAAGCTAAATATCTGAAAATCCATTATGTCGGAATTCTTAAGACAACATTTAGAATCACACACTGTGCTTGAATACATTTTGGTCTATGAGAGAGAGACACAATCCACCGGTGTATTACTTGAATTTATTGATAAAAAGTTAAATCAAGATGGATGAACCGAGCCTCAGGAGCAGATTCCTCTCAATGTGAGCCTCCCTGTGGTTTCTCACTTTTTCCCACTGGGTTTTTGAGTTGTTCCTTTTCTTCACATTAAGGACGTTGGTCTCAGTCCCCTTTGGACCAATGGCTGTATGTGTTAATTTGCCAACAACAGATCGGTCAATCAAACAAACAACTTTGAACAGTGAATTTCAAAATGTTGAATTTCAAAATGTTCACAAAAAACAGTGCCGTCTTTGGTTTGTTTTTAAATGACCAAAGTGTGCGGGGCCCTATTCACATAAACAGCAGAGAATACAGCCAGGACCAGAACATCTTTTATGTTTATATTTTGGCAATTTATCATACTTACACAGTTCTGAGACTGAGCTGGGACCATAGTCTCTGATTGGTCAGGGGTCTCAGAGCGGTAAAGTATAGGAAAACACCATTCATTTAAAAGATTTCGCTTTATCGCTGTTTTATTACAGATAACAATGTTGGTGGAGTCCCAGCTGAGTCTAGACCAGGGCTGGCAAACTGGTTCCACAAAGGGCGGTTGGCTGCAGGTTTTCATTCCAACCAAGCAGGAGGCACACAGTTCCAGAAAGACCAGAAGAAAGCCTACACTACAGTCTCTGTGCTTGCCCTGGGAATGTTTATGTGAATGTACCCAGGCCTTTCGTGGGAGCTTTATGTGAATGGGGCTATTGTTTGAAATGGCTCGATATCAAAATCATCAACAGACTAAAATTCCACCAGGGCACCGACCCAGCTGTAGTCCAGTTTCCGCAGCTGCCTCAGCTCCCTGGTCTGGGCTTTGGTCAGTCCTGGATCTTTGGGGTCTCTGGTCTGGTCCTGGTTCTTGATCGCAGTAACACGACTCGTTTCCTCTTCCTCAGAATCCTCTTCCTCTTTCTCGCTTTCCATTTCCTCCTCGGTCACGTTGGTCGGTTCCCTAAAATCCATAAGAAATTGCAAAAATAGGAAAAATTATAAAGCAAAGTTATCATGAAGACGTTTTATAAAAAAGTTCTTTCCTAAAATGTTGGAAAATCCTCCTTTAGTCTTTGCGGACTCCGTTTCATAAATATATATAAAAACACATGCTCGTAGACTACATACGTAAGTAAGGATAAGTAATCCTTATTTATATAAAGCAAAGGAAGGTTTCTGCTTTGACTTGCTTTGCTTTGACTAATCCCTGTACGACTGAGAGCTTACACAAACTTATTTATATAGCGCATATTTACAGACCAAGGTCACCCAAAGTGCTTTACAGGAGTTCAGATATTGTTCCGTTCTCTCCGGCACACTCGAGAATCAAAGCCTCAAACACATCCATTCATTCCCTCGTTACATTCTGACCTATTGTACGTGTTTTTTGGCAGCGGCCATTATCGATTTCAGGAGTCAGTCATCAAGACACGCTGACCGGTAGAATGTTTTGAAATGACGTCCAAATCAATGGGGTGTTCTGCTGCTGTGAGGAGCTGCTGATACATGACTATTTAGCTAAATGAACCACTTCTAATATCTGAATCCACAACATGCAGCCTTTTACGGACACGTTTCTCTACCATTTTTATTTTTCCAATCAGATGTCTTTCCAATCTTGACACTAACTTGAGAGCTGTTTTTTTTTACTTTTTGCTCTTTGTGCAACACTTCCTCATGTTTTGAACTTTCCATTGACTCAACAGATCCACAGGAGCGTGTTGTTTTAACCTCATCTGCAAAGTTTATCCAATGTTAAAAGTCCTTAGTCATGAAAAGAGCTTAAAAATGAGCAAGCAAAAAAAGTGATCCAAACCCCACTCAGCAAATTGTTAATGGAAACTCAATGGAGGAAGTGTTTTGATGAGGAGAAAAAAAGTGAAAGTTTGGGCAAATTCGAATACAGTATTTGAACTATAAGCGGGTACTTTAAGTTACGTGAGACCAGGAGAGATTATTTCTAGTCATCCAACGATCGCTCCACAGTTTATAAATTCACTGACTGTTCACCACCTGAAAGAGGAGCTACTGGTAAGGGGCAGTTTTTGACAGTTTTTAAGATCGAAGTCGCCGTTTACCTTTTGTCTGCGGTGGAGACGAGCAGAGACTGAACAAACATGGAGCACAGCTGTGACGTGGAGGGAAGCACGTGGGCCGGCGTCTGCAGCAGCTGTGGATGAGAACCAGGGCACGTCTCAGAACCATCGGGGACAATCGCAAAACATGAAATACTGGATCAGCAGGACTTTGGAATCTTGTGGTCATGAGAGGGTTTTCACGTCTTGGAAACATGCGTAAAGCTGCGGTACCTGCCAGAATGTGCTCAGAATATATGTTCAGTGCTATTGTTGTAGCCTGGTCTTACCATACCATTGTACTCAGGTCTGGATTTGCTCCATTAAGCTCCATCAACAGGTGGGAGGGGTTAACTCCTTTTAAAGATTGAAACCATTGGATCCGAGTTTACCGTGAGGATCTGAGTGAGGCATTTAGCCTAGCTTTAGCCAACTCCTTTGCCACTAACGGAGCCCGTGGGGAGCCACAACATATTTGCTAAACATTCCTCTAACTCCGGCTTCAATTTCTTGATATTTGGAGCTGAACAAGGAACAGATTACTTTACTATCGTATTCGGCGCTATTGCCAAACTACAACCAACAAATTCGGTGGAAACTCTTGACGTCACTGACACCTCCCTACAACACCTGCCTCGCCCGCTTGCTGAATGGTCGGAGGGGAACTGAAGAAACTGCAGCCAAGAGGATCAGACCCAGACGCACATGTAGGAAAGACCAGGCTAGTCTTTTTGAGTAATCGCCATTTCTTCTTTTGCTCATAAGAAGTCACTTTACAAAATGCATTGTCATTATTGACAATTAAAAGCATTTTCAAATAGATAAGAAAATGGAAAACTCATTAGTGGTGCGTGTGAGTGAGAGACCAGAGAGAGAGACCAAAGAGAGAGATACTAGAGAGAGTTCTCAGAACTCATCACCACAAAACGTTAATCTATCAGTTCTCTTGTTGAACCTGTATCCAGTTACAGAATTTAAGCCACTAGCAAAAGCCATGAAGCAGCCTTTTTACACAACCATGAACCAGGCTGGATTAGCCCTGCAGCCGCCTATCTGCTCCCACCCAAAGAGGCACATAGTGACTCACATGTCAATTCATTTTTGTTTTATTCAGCATAAGCAATACATTTTTAATTTCAATAGTAATTTCATCCCGGATACACAACTTAATTCTTAATATTATAATCATTGACGAACCTCTCTGATGGCGCTGGAGCCCTGCGGAGGTTGAACTCTGTCCGTCACCGCGGCAACTTCCCGGGCGTCAGTTTGAGGCCGTTTTCCCAGCAACAGGTAGAAGGGAGTCATGGCAACGTGGTCGTCAATCACAAGCTGAAAACAAGTGTAAATGTTGGTGTTGTTGCACAGAATCTGTAACCGTTGGCAATAGATTTGACTGAGACTATATTTGACATTAGAGTAATAAGTATTTACAGCACATCTGGTCAATCCAGGGAGGGATTAATGACATTGGTTTTAATAATCAGTACCTGTTTGCTGGAGGCAGTCAGTCTGTCCTCTTCAGCTTTAGTCGAGAACGTCAAGAGCTCCTGCAGGGAATTAAAAGTTACATTGAAGGTGAAGAGAGAGAGACTTTCAGATCAGGACACAGCAGGAAAACATTCAGCAAATTTCAAAAGTTTTCTGTAGTTTCTTGCATTTCTTTGATCCATTTGCCACTATAATAATTAAAAATTATAGAAAAATTATAAAATTATTTAAAACTGTCATTAAAACCGATCCACAACACGAGTTTGTCTCTACCGTGTACCCAAGCCGGCGATCCAAGATGGCGACTTATTCAAATCAATATCTTGTGCTCAGTGTTGTATGAAGCGACCATGGGCACCGACAGATTAGCAGAACTCGCCCATATTTGGACATCTGCTGGTCCTTCCGGTTCTGCGCAGTGGACAACCTCCCATGATGTTTTGCGCCAAATACTAACGAGTATGCGTGTGTGGCTCTCATGCACAAGCACAAGGGACATATGGGAAAATTTCTATGTAGCTCACGTCTTATTTAGTCTGCAGTACCACAGGAAGCCTCCGAGCCCATGGGTGGGACAGCTATAAGCTAGCATTACCCCATCCAGATATTATTATAGATTCATGCGTGTACCATGTTGGGAGAGAAGAAGTGCAGCTGTGAGCGGTTGATCCACTGGAGCTGCTCCTCGCTGCCCTCTAGTGGCTCCTCTCTGGGAGTGAAAACGGCTCTCAGCACCCGCCCGGGACACACTGCTTTGTGGGAGAAGAGCGGCCGCGGCTCACTGGGCCTGAACACAAACACTGACACAGACACAGACACACAGGGGATGGTTACATTTACCTAGTTTCATTTTACAACACAGATTACCTAGGAACAAAAACACTGCACAATGGCTAGCTACAACATTCCCAGCAGTAAAAAACAATCATACCAACATTTTGTAGCATTCTTGGCTTTTCTAATGCTCCATAGTTACGTAATTTCCTGTAATTTCCAAACTGAGGGACTAATAAAAGGCATCATTCAAAAGATCAGAGTTTGGGCAGCTAGCACGCTAACAACAGAGCACCAAAGGCTAGCTTTAGCAGAAATATTCAGCTTTAGAGTAAAGCTGAAGCTGATCTGTGTAACTAGATAAGAAGTACACAAATCAATTAATGCATATTTCAAACCTGTGCAAGACATTTTTACATAGTACATTCACTAGCTAGAAGAGACGAACATTAGAAGAAATTACTCTTAGAAGCAAGAGTAATTGCAGAGAAAGTAAACAAGTCTATCGCTGGCTTGTATAAAACACAATAAAGTTAGTATTTGCGTCAAACTCACGGTCCGTGCATCCGGCCTCAGAGCAGAAGGCGGCCATGTTTTCAGAGAGCGGATCAGATAAGAGCAGAGAGACGTCCATCGAGGTGCTCCACTCCACTGGTAAAAACAGGCAAATGTCACGGACGTCATTTCTGACTTTTAACATACATTAAAGTCCAAGATATTCTCAACTATCTCAGAATGATGAGTTATGAAGAATGTTGTGATTAGTGTTTCAAAATAAATGTTCCATCTTTCTAATGGAAAAAGGTCTTATTTTATTTTTTTAATTTATCTCCACTATTAGTGTTATTAACATTTTGGATTCATTATGTTGTGGTATCACACATTAATAGAAGCAGTCATTGAGAACAGAGTTTTGATTCATTATAATAAGCAGCCGATGGGTATGAGGTTAACAACTGGGCCACATAGAAATGTGGATCGGGCCAAATGTAGCCCCCGGGCCGCACTTTGCCCAGGTCTATAAATAACCATCTTCTCACAGGAGCAGGTGAGCAGGTTCCAGCAGCACAGTTGGTTCTTGTCGGTGGTTCCCAATAGATACTTGGAGCAGCTCTGTCGTCCGAAGCACAGATTTCTGTGAGAGAGAAAAACTTTTAGCTGCGGTGAATACCAAGTGAGTACATTCAGGGGAGGTTTCGGGCGGCTCTTCACACGACATATTTCACCGGATTAGCTTTTGTCAGCCTCCAGACTCGACATTTAACGTTCACTTAAGAGCGAACACCCACAAAGAAGCGGAGCGGCTACTGGCTTTGTTTTTCTCCCCACGCACAAAGAATGAGTCTGGCCTGAAAATGATCGCCGTGAATGGAGGAGTCTATACTCTGCTTTGGGTGCAACAATTAAAGCTTTCATAAAAGCTTTAATAGTTGTAAAATCCCACCAACTCTTCGCTCTCAGAACAGTTTGGTTCTATCAATAGTTTCCACATTCTCGTTTTAAAATTCAAAATGTGTTTTTATTGAGGTTTTTGCATTTTACATCAGCAGGATTTCTTTTACAAAACACTTCTTACAGAATGAGAACGTGAAAAGTTAAAGCGAAATGGAAACTCAGGTATATGCCGGGTCACAGAAGAGAGGTAGCTATTTAAAAATCAAGATAAATCCCCTTTCCAAAAACCCATCCATCCATCCATTTTCTTCCCTTTAATCCATTTCTGGGTCGGGGGGGGGGTGGCAACAGCTTTCAAAAAATGATTGGTGAAAAGTGACAGAGGGAAGATATCTACTGGTCAAGGGGAGAATGGAGGGAACGCTCATTTGCAGTCTAAATATATATATGCACCACCGGGAAAATAATTGTTTTTTCTTCTTTTGACAGGCATAAAATAAAATGTTTAGGCCTGCCCTGCTCCTCTTCTGCTGCTGTGACCTAAAGTGCTTAGTTAGAATTGTAGAATTTTTATTTATGCTTGCTTGTTTGAATGGGTGGATGTGCTTCTGCTGCTGGACACTTCCAACAGGAATCAATAAAGTAAATCTTTTTCTATGATATACGTCTATGATTTTTGGAACATCTTACTCATTTGTAGATCAGCTTTTTCAGACAGAAAAGTGAAAAAGAGAGGACCACCTACTCCAATCCTAATCCAATCGGCTTTAAAACATCAGAGTGACTCAGAGGGTCACGGTTCACGGCTCTTAAACGTATGCAAAGGATCACGCATGTTTTCTAATAAGATAATGACAGCTTGTTCACTGAAGTCTACATTTACAAGACAACATTTCGAAAACTTATTTTTGATTCCAGCTTCATCCCTTAGTCCCTGGAGTTGGTGGAGTTTGTGGCAGGTTTTGGGGCCAGGCTCGATGTTTCCTGTGGGTGGTGGTTATGCAAGTGTGAAGTGGGCAGCTGTGTTAATGTTGTCCTTTCTCTTTTCATTTTACTCCCACGAAATCACATTCCTGAACGTGGACCTTGTGGCGTGGCTGTGTAATTATAGACACTGGTTTTGTTAAAATTTATATAATAGAGATAAAAGTGACCTAAAGAAGACATAAAAATCATCTGTGAGCCGGCCATGACGCTTGTGGATCAAATGTTCTTATATTTAGATATTTTTCATTCTCAAGATGGATCTAAAACAATATTATACAGCTCTGTGCACTTCTGTAGCCAGTTCTGCCGTATCGCTCTGAGCTCTGCCCCTTTGTATAATGTCGGTGGCAGTCTGACGTGAAGTTGGCAACATTTTCCTTTCAAAAACAAACCACAAAACACGCTTTAACCTTGAAAAACACTTTTGATTGTGTGAATTAAAAGAGGAACTTGCATCGTTGTGAAAGGTAATTTTTAAGTTCTCCTTGGAACAAATTTGAGATTGAACAAACCGGGTTAACTGAAATGAACTTCCTCAAACCATTTGTGATCCATTCTTCAAAGCAAACTTGTCGAAGTCCAATAACGTGTGTCGAACTAGTTTAAATACTCATGATTTCTATTTAAGAAAAACCTTGGGGGACCAAGCTTTCGCCATCTCATTTCATAATAATAATATTCTACAAGAGGTCTACAACCACTTATCAATCCTGTCTGAAGGCATGAAATACAGGATTTGGCTTTATTAAAAATGTGATCTTTGTTTGCAATTGTAAAAAATGATGTTTAAAACGTATCCGAGAGTTGAAGAGAAAGTGTAGTTAAGAGTGAAGGCATGACCTGTGACTTGGACTGAGAAAGTTAAATATAGGGCAATTGACTTTTCTGTTGCATTGATCCATAACAAAGTCTAAAAGGGAACTGAAACTAACAAACATTAACAAAAATATTAGCTTCCCATATCGAGTGCAAGTCATCACATTTACTTTTGCAATGCTGGCTCTGGGAGAACATGCAAACTCCACTCAGAAAGGCCCCGTTCAGACCGGGATTCGAACCCAGGACTTTCTTGCTGAGAGGCGAGAGTGCTATCCTTATGGGGAAGCACAGGACCTAACAACTGCTCTACTGTGCACTTTTAAAGTAATCATTCAAAGTGCGGCACAGAATTTACAGTTGGCTTGTTTCACAGAAACTCTCTCATAACTGCTTGGTTTTTTAACTTTTATCCGGTTGAAATGTTTGGTCACAGATGTCACAGATGTACAGACTCACTTGAAACGTGTGGAGTCTATAGTGCTCCTTCTTGGTTGGAATAAAATCCTGCAGCCACAGCGGCCCTTCGAGGACTGGTTTGACATCCCAGGTCTAAAATAAGTTTCTTCATCTTTGACCGTTGTAATGTTAATTTTCAGCTCACTCTCAGTTTTAGATTCTTCTACATAGTTGGTTTTGACCTCCTTGCATTTTTCTATTGTTTTTCTGAAGACGCGGTTGTGTACTACGCCCTGTGCTCTGTGGTGCCGTGTGTTTCTGGCCGTTTCACCTGATGTCTCCTGGGGGCTGGGAGAGCGTGGTGAGCAGGTCCCAGGTCACAGTGCTCCACACGGTCACCACCTCCCGGAACGCCACCGCCAGCAGAGAGCCGTCGGCCGAGAAGCTGCAGCACTGCGGAGCCAAGCCGTGGTAGGAGCCCACGAAGTCACAGGACCAAGACGCACTTTCATCTGGGAGGGATTAGCACAGCGAGAGTAAGAATCAAAGAACGACCAGAGAGATCCGTCTGAGAGTCCAGCGATGGGGAAAACTAATACTTTGAGGATAAGAACTAAAATCAGTCTTAAGACACGCGCTTTTCCTGAACCCAAAGAATATGTATTTACACTCATTATCAGGTGGACGAGACATTTGAACATGAAGTACTACCATTTCTACTTCCTCCTTTCAAAAGACAATTATCAAACTGGTTCCCATCAATTCCAATGCTTTTAAAAACTAATCTGGATGCTTATTTTGTATTTATTTATTAGACATGAAAGAGAAATGGGGAGTAGCACTCTTGAACGGCCAATCAGCCGTTAACAATTGTACGGGAATGTAAATAGATTTTGCCAATTTGCTTGAAAAACAAAAAGGAGGGGCAATACATCTTTTTGTTATAAGCAAATAAATGAAACCTGAGAGTTTTCAAAGTAAGTGCGATATTGATTTTTCCACATTACGTACAGTGCCTTGCGAAAGTATTTGACCCCCTTGAACCTTTCAACATTTCGCCACATTTCAGGCTTCAAACAAAGATATACAATTTTTATTTTTTGTCATGAATCAACAACAAGTGGGACACAATCGTGAAGTGGAACGAAATTTATTGGATAATTTAAACTTTTTTAACAAATAAAAAACTGAAAAGTGGGGAGTGCAATATTATTCAGCCCCTTTACTTTCAGTGCAGCAAACTCTGGATCTTTGATCCAATGTTGTCCTAAATGACTGATGATGATAAAGAGAATGCACCTGTGTGTAATCAAGTCTCCGTATAAATGCACCTGCTCTTTTATAGTCTCAGGGTTCTGTTTAAAGCGCAGAGAGAACCATGAAGACAAAGGAACACACCAGGCAGGTCCGAGATACTGTTGTGGAGAAGTTTAAAGCCGGATTTGGATACAAAAAGATTTCCCAAGCTTTAAACATCTCAAGGAGCACTGTGCAAGCAATTATATTGAAATGGAAGGAGTATCAGACCCCTGCAAAGCTACCAAGACCCGGCCATCCCTCCAAACTTTCATCTCAAGCAAGGAGAAGACTGATCAGAGATGCAGTCAAGAGGCCCATGATCACTCTGGATGAACTGCAGATAACTACAGCTGAGGTGGGAGAGTCTGTCCATAGGACAACAATCAGTCGTGCACTGCACAAATCTGGCCTTTATGGAAGAGTGGCAAGAAGAAAGCCATTTCTCAAAGATATACATAAAAAGTCTCGTTTAAAGTTTGCCACAAGCCACCTGGGAGACACACCAAACATGTGGAAGAAGGTGCTCTGGTCAGATGAAACCAAAGTCGAACTTTTTGGCCACAATGCAAAACGATATGTTTGGCGTAAAAGCAACACAGCTCATCACCCTGAACACACCATCCCCACTGTCAAACATGGTGGTGGCAGCATCATGGTTTGGGCCTGCTTTTCTTCAGCAGGGACAGGGAAGATGGCTAAAGATGATGGGAAGATGGATGGAGCCAAATACAGGACCATTCTGGAAGAAAACCTGTTGGAGTCTGCAAAAGACCTGAGACTGGGATGGAGATTTATCTTCCAACAGGACAATGATCCAAAACATAAAGCCAAATCTACAATGGAATGGTTCACAAATAGACGTATCCAGGTGTTAAGTCAAAGTCCAGACCTGAATCTAATCGAGAATCTGTGGAAAGAGCTGAAGACTGCTGTTCACAAACGCTCTCCATCCAACCTCACTGAGCTCGAGCTGTTTTGCAAGGTAGAATGGGAAAGAATTCCAGTCTCTCGATGTGCAAAACTGATAAGAGACATACCCCAAGCGACTTGAAGCTGTAAGTGCAGCAAAAGGTGGCGCTACAAAGTATTAGCGCAAGGGGGCCGAATAATATTGCACGCCCTACTTTTCAGTTTTTTATTTGTTAAAAAAGTTTAAATTATCCAATACATTTTGTTCCACTTCACGATTGTGTCCCACTTGTTGTTGATTCTTGACAAAAAATTTAATTTTTATATCTTTATGTTTGAAGCCTGAAATGTGGCGAAATGTTGAAAGGTTCAAGGGGGCCGAATACTTTCGCAAGGCACTGTATAGACCTTTAAGGGTTAATATCGTGACATTTTTCTCAATGGCCATTTCTGACCATCGTTGTGACTGATTTCCGAAGTAGAAAGTTTGATACAAAAGAGTGCACATACCATATACACAACTCCCATATTTTAGAAAATGTCTAGTTATAACCATTTCTTGAAAAAAAAATCTGCGGCAAAAATTTTAAATGCAGAGAGTTTGAATTAAGTAGTCTGATCTACAATTCTTTTTGTCAGACCCGAATAGTTGAGCAGGTTTTGACAGCTTATATATAAAATAGTAAAAAGTTTTCCAATTTGCTAAATGACGTTTTCACCTCTGAATACATAAAGGCGTGCTCTGTATTCACTAGTTTTGTCCCGGTGTAGCCTCCGTACCCTCGGCAGTGGGAGCAGTCAGAGTCCAGGCCTTGAAGAGTCCGTCGTTGCCGGTGGAGACGAGGAGGGTGGTCTGGTCTGGACTGAAGCTCAGGTCTGTGACGCGGTCCTCGTGTGGAGCCGAGACCGTCGTGTTCAGCACAAAACTGCAGCAGAAACCACCAAGTTATTATTATAGTTACATTTTGAAAAGACCAGGGTTTTCATAGGCACTAGACAGACAGTATTTCCAGTTAAAGTCAAATTTGAGACTTCTTTAAAAGTCATTTAGGGGAAAAAGTAACCTCACAATCACAGGTGAACTAACACAAGCTGCTTCTCGTAATTGCAAACATTGGCATTGAAATAGAGAAAGTAGCTGGCAATGGAGAATAGTTTCCCCAATAGAGTCTTGTAAAGAGGTTTTTGCCTGATTTGTGTTTTAAATTGGACCTTGAGTCTGTAATAAAGTTGAATTGAATTTGTACTATCTGCTCTGTCTGGTTCCCACTGGGGTAAGTCTCGTACAGTTATTCTAACGTGGTTTTACTGCAAATGGCAAATACACCGAATCTGACCACAACATGCAGCATGTATATCATTAGATTATTTTATTTTTTTGCTGAAAATGAGAAAGAAAAAGCTAATTGGCCAAGTGAGGCTGGTCCTCTTGTTTCTCGTCTGTCTGAAAAAGCTGGTCTTGAAGATGCGAGAGGGGCAAGAACAAGTATGTGAAAACTAGTGATAAAGGATTTTTTTTTTTTTTTTTTGGTTGCGAGACAAAAAAAAACATACAAAAAGACATCGCTATAAGAATACAGCAAAAACCTCCCGCAAATCTGCACAATAGAAATGGAATCATCGATGCCACCATTGATCCCGCACCAGTTTTGGCTCTTATCATATGTTACAGATACAGGTGGTCTTTTTACTCAAAAAGGACTCATTTAAAAGAGAAAAAAGCACTGGAGGGCCATAATAAGCCGTGAGTCAGTCTGCATACCTCTGCGTCTGCTCGTCGAACGCCCAGAGTTTCAAATTCAGCTCGAGCTCAGCAGAGTTTTGTTTTCTTTCCTCCACCGTTGCCAGCCATTTTCCACCTGTGTCAAAGTCTGCTTTGACCACGTCGAACTGGTTCAGGCCTGACTCGTGGATGTACTCCTGCTGCACTATGTCCAACTAAGAGAATGGGATTGCAGGATGAGAAACTTTACTATTCCCGTTCGACTGTGTTTATCAAAACAGGCCTCTTAAAAGGACAACTAAACACCAAAGCAACTTTATTTTTACTCAAAAACTGCATATGTGTGTCTTAGTGCTTTCTACATGCCCTGGTCCTATTTTTGACATTTTAGTGCTGTCTTTTGAGTTTGAAACTGTCTTCTGGCGCCCTCTCTACATTTTTGTGGCACTACATTTGATTTTGATGCCTGCCTTTCCAGTGGCTCTGGAGTGCAGTGTGACGTCACATTGTGTAAAAGCAGCTAATTCTCACACGCCCCAGTAGCGAGTTGGAGTATTCTGGCGACATCTACTGGTTTAAAATAAAATTACACAAGTTGACTGCAGCTACTGCCAAGATAATTCTGTGGCTTAGGTTCAGGTGTGTAGCTCTACAATAATCTTAGAGTGTAAACAAGAGAATGAGAATTTTTGGTGTGTAAACTATTGCAATGACAACTGCCCAGCTCTAAGCCCCAATGCTTGTCCCTTGGTCCTCCAGGCAACGGCCTTTTTAGAGAGAATTTTCAAATGTTCATGTGAGTGGAGTAAGGCAGGGCACAAGTTTTCCTTTAAAAGAAGCAGTAATTATGACACAGGTGTAGCGCTGAGGACATGTGTTAGTGCTACCTTTCTGTCATTCTACTTTTTTTTTGTTATCATTTTTTGCTTACGATTATTAAATGGATTGGTTTCCATTTCAAGTGACAAAGCTCCACCACAAAAATCTTTGAGACTTTTATTATGGAGGGCAACTTCCTGCTGCAAAAACACTTACATTATAAAGGAGTTTGTCTCGTTGGAGTGAGTAAAACTGCAAATGTCCTGGTTTTCCGTTCATCACCAAAGCTTTGCTCAGAGGATCAACGATCAGATCCGTCTTGATTCTGTCGCCTGCAAAACAAGCACCATTAGATGTCACAGGAGGCTTCACTGTTACACGGTAGAAAGTAAAAGTACCTACCCTGGACAAGGCCTTGAATCACAGCAGATATTTTGATGTAACTGTGGATGACTATGATTTCTGGAAAGAGAAAAAATACCTCTTTATATGGACACAACAGTTGCATTGAACAGACCAGAAGAACTGCATTTAGGGTTATAGAAAGACCATGATCATTTTACACACATTTCAATTTTACAAATATAAAAATAATGTAAAATTCAAAAAACATGTGTACAACGTTGCTCTGATTTCTTCCACAGTTTCAGACGTTTGGTGAAAGTCTAATTCAAACATGTATGAAGATATTTTTTGTTGCAGTATGTTGCTTTTGTCATACTGGAGAGTCCCAGTTTCACCAACTAACTTGTTATTGTCTTAAAAAGTATAGTGGAATTTTAAAAGCATTCATAAAAGTTCATGAACAAGTATCGGAAAAGTAAAAGTAATTTATGATGAAAATTATCCATATTGGAGAAAAAAACTTTAGCTGCTGTGACTTACTGGCTTAACAGTTATTTGTGATTCATTTTACATAAATGCTGCAGTAAGAAAAACATGTTATTTTCTGATTTCTGTTGAAAATCTTGCCTTGGGTGACAGGAAGTAATTCATTAACAATCATTTCCATTTCCGCCATGATGGGTCAGCTCAGTCTCTGCGTCTGTGCATGTGATGACGCTGCATATCTTGGTACATCTTATCTAGATTCATCTCGATAAACTTTAGGTACGATGCCTGGTATTGTGAAAAGAATAGTGTCATGGCTGATAACTATACAGCAGACAGAAGTATGAGATATGTTTAAGACTGGTGACGGCCCAGGTCTAAAGCCCGGTGAGAGTCTTACTGTTGTCGGAGTGAGAGGTGCAGAACAAGCAGCCGTCAGGAGACACGGAGATGTGGCTGATGGCTGCTCCCAGACGCGGCAGGAAGTCCTTCTGCGTCTCCTGGTTATACCTCCACTGCACCAGCACCGACTCCCCTCCACCACTCAGAAAGTTTGTCCCTGCAAAAAACACACAAGTACACATAAGGGTACTGCACACCTAAAGCTAAAGCTGGGGTAGCGAGCGTTCAGACCACAGAACTACAAACTACATAGAAAAAAACCCATGTAACTGGCGCCTTCTTTTGAGAGAAAAAGTGACAAGAATGAGATAAAGAACAACATTTAACTTTTACCTAGTGATGCACAGACGGGAAAATTGTGGCCGATACAGATGTTAAGTTGTTAATGTTGCTTTTACTGATACGGAGATATACAGTATACACACACGCACACACTAGATATTTATGATACCTTTCATTCATTCAATCATTCATTTTCAAGCCCTTTAGGCTATATCCACACGGAGACAAAACGCTTATAATTTCAGAAACTTTTTCTGTAAACACGGAGTTAGCTCAGTAAATGTGTGCGTCCATATGAATGTAGTCAATACGCCTGAAAACGCTGTGAAACTATGCCAGACCTGTTGGTGGCGCTGTGACGCAATGACGGGATCAAGCCCAAACTTCCGTGACGGGAACTGGGCATGCGCAGAATTTTGTAAACAGACAACATGGCGAGTGGGCGAGCTGGTACTACATTAGTACGGACGGACGATGAGGTTGAACTGTTGCTTCGGGTCGCACTGGATTACAAAACCAACAAGCTACATTGTTGTTGTCATTATTTTCTGAGTGCGGCGCATGCGTGCTTTAACAAGAGGCGGGGCGATGACGCAAGCGTCTCAGATACATTGCGGAGAGGCAGTAACCACGGAGCGGCATATACGGAGTTTTGAAATCTTTCCACTCTGGGACCTACCTTCAAAAATGTTCATTTACACCCCCCCAAAACGCCGGCCTCGTATGGACGATACACTGGATTGATAAAGTATTTTTGCGTTTAGGCCTGAGCTTGACTTCGTGTGGACAGGGCCTTATTGTCCATTTCTGGGTCAGGGGGGTGGCAATGAGAGCTGCCATCCAATGCTCATAGCACCAGTCCCTCGCTGATCCTCTGCAGGGGGTGAGTCCACAGGAAGATGGCTGCTCTGTCAGTGGTGAAACAGCCTTGGTCTTTCAGCGGGGGCTTCAGGCAACGTCGGGTTAAGTGTCTTGCCCAAGGACACAACGACAGTAGACATCAGTGGGAGCAGTTGGAGTAGGTCCCATGGTGGCAATCAAACTCACGACCTCCAAGCTCAAAGGCCACTGCTCTACCAACTGAGCTACTGTCGCCCCTTTTATTTATGATACCATTCATTTTTTTTGGAAATGACTGATACTGTATTATGATTTTTTGTGATTCAAGACTCACAACTGACTGACAACTTTCATTAGCAAGTTTGTTTCTAGCTTGTTTAATTCTCCTGTAATCCCCAGTTGAGTAAAAAGAAGTTTGACTGAAATCACCAGTCTCAGACAAAAAGACTTCAAACACATTGCTAGCCAAGCTCTCCTTTTTGGGGATCATGATCTGCACCCAGGCGCAGATCTCTTCAGAGCACGGGCACAGCCGGGGCCTAAGCTCCAAACCAATAAACAAACTCAATCCATAAAATAAAGAACTCTTAAACGCATCTCGTCTCTTGTAGTCTCTCTTGAAGCTTAAGCGTAGGTTCAGGATGGTAGACTACCTACGTTATCACACCAGGCTTGACCACGCCTTACCCTTCTGTTGTAATCAACTCATCAACTCCCTGCAGCCGTGTCAATCAAGCCAGCGTTTAAGAGCAAAGCAGAGCACAGCTCACCAAACGGACTTTGGGGAAGGCACTGAGTTAACGGTGCCTTCCCCAAAGTTAGGCACTGAGTTAACATTGAAAAAACTTTTAAGGTACAGTAGTAAGGCTAAAAATGGCCCTACACTCACATCTAATCCTATATATACACACCAAATACACCGGAATAAGCAGAGGCCTATTTACCTCAGCCCCATGTTGACACCGGACCGACACGTAAAATAAGACCATATTGGCCGCTGATATATAAAAACTACATGTGTTATTAATGAGAAAAAAAAGTTAGGTTAGTTAGCATTAAACTATACTTTACCTTCAGGGGTGAAGCTTAAGGCCCCAACTGCAGTGTGATGCCAGTGGTGAGTCGAGTAAGTGTACTCCTTTTTGTGGTTGAAGTTTCTCCTGAGAGTAAAAAAAAAAAATACAATACATACGAGTGTACTTCTTCCCTCAGGCGCTTATAAGACTGAACAGAGCGCCACGAGATCCGCCTCTTTGTAGCTCATTCGTAGTTTCTTCGTGATGCTTTTAAGGGTTTTATATGTGCCTCACTGTGTCTTGCCACGCTATGCTTATTCTTTTTGTGTGTGTGTGCTTTGTGGTGTTGGTGGCCCCGGTGTCTCCTGTTTGTATTCTAATGTAGTTTTATTCTGCAAATGGCAATAAATTGATTCTGTTTTGTGCAAGGAGATTTTGGGAGTAATCAAAGGGTTTTAGAGTGACGTAATGCAAGCGGGGGGGATTCAAAACGACATGTGAACAGAAGTAGAAAATGCCACAATGGTTACGAATCCTAACAGAAGTCCAAAAGAAAATATTGAAAAGGTGGCAGGGCCTCTTATATGCTGAATGAACTAAGTGACGTTTGTGCACCCAGTTAAGATCATAACTGAGAGTTTAAAGCACTTAAGATGAAGAGATCCTTTATTCATCCCACAGTGGGGAAATTTTACGAACTCTTACCACAGACGTATTTTCCCGTCTTCGTGGCCGGTGGCGATGCAGTCCTCTTTGGGGTGACAGGTCGTGCACGTGAAGGTATTCTTTTGCCCATGTTTGTTGTCTTCTGGGAGATAAAACCTTCAAAAACACACAACCACATGTTTAGCTAAAGTTGTAACCTGCAATATTTCTTCTCCCTTTTAAGTTATTTGTTGTCAACATCAAACATTGCATGGTAATCATTTATGGACATTTATTCACCTTAACGGACATTGGTCACCCGCTCCCTATGGACCAAAAGCTTACTATTTACTATTTTTACTATTGCATTTCCTGTGTGAGAACTGTCCGTTTGATTCTCTGATCCACTTTGGCGAATCCAAAACTTTGAGTCCTCTGAGACAACTACTGTTGTGATTTAGGGCCATACAAAAACAAATTGAATTGAGAAGAAAAACAAAACTTGAATAGCACATCTCATACAGTGCCTTGCGAAAGTTTTCGGCCCCCTTCAACCTTTCGCCACATTTCAGGCTTCAGACATAAAGATATAAAATTTAATTTTTTTGTCATGAATCAACAACAAATGGGACACAATCGTGAAGTGGAACGAAATGTATTGGATAATTTAAACTTTAACAAATAAAAAACTGAAAAGTGGGGCGTGCAATATTATTCGGCCCCTTTACTTTCAGTGCAGCAAACTCAGTCCAGAAGTTCAGTGAGGATCTTTGAATGATCCAATGTTGTCCTAAATGACTGATGATAAATAGAATGCACATGTGTGTAATTAAAGACCTTATGACGGGTTTGATTTATTTAGAAATACAGTTTTAATACCATTTTATATTAGAAGAGAACTACTAAAGGTTTCAAAATCAGTTGTTTTTTTTGTCTGATCCCCCCAAATCGAAATAACCCCATAGCAACGCCCTTAGAAACGAAAAAACTTCACAGCCCTTGGTGACGTCAGAACGGGTACGTTTCAACGCTGTAAGTTGTTTACAATTTGGTATTCGTTCTTTTTTCGCGGATATTCAAGATGACAAGGCCGTGTACAGCGAGTCTAAAATAACTACTAGAATGTAGTATTTCGTTGTCACTGAGATAGTCCAGTGGTTGTGTCGATGGCCTGCCAATCCAGATACTTGGGTTCAAATCCCAGCTCGGGCATTTTTTCACACTCAAAACGGCAATTTATATGTAGTGAGCAATTGTCACCTGTAGAGTGCAGTATTGTGTTGGGCATCAGTAGAGAGAAAAGGCAGTCCTGTGGCATAGATCCATGGTTTTCAATGCATGGGCGTAACCCGCTATGACGTCACACACAGGTTAGAGCATAGACAACTTAAATTCATGAAAAACACGTTCTTTTTATAAAATATAGGATTTTTTTTTCCGGAATCTCTTTCAAATTGACATTGTCATGCAATTTTGATATCCACTATTTTAAAAAAAAAAACCCGTCATAAGGTCTTTAAGTCTCCGTATAAATGCACCTGCTCTTTGATAGTCTCAGGGTTCTGTTTAAAGCGCAGAGAGAACCATGAAGACAAAGGAACACACCAGGCAGGTTCGAGATACTGTTGTGGAGAAGTTTAAAGCCGGATTTGGATACAAAAAGATTTCCCAAGCTTTAAACATCTCAAGGAGCACTGTGCAAGCAATTATATTGAAATGGAAGGAGTATCAGACCCCTGCAAATCGACCAAGACCCGACCGTCCCTCCAAACTTTCATCTCAAACAAGGAGAAGACTGATCAGAGATGCAGCCAAGATGCCCATGATCACTCTGGATGAACTGCAGATATTATTGGGTTGACAGTGGCTCAGTTGGTAGAGCATTGGCCTTTGAGCCTGAAGTTCATGGGTTCGAGCCCATCACAAGAATTTCTCCACCGACTCCCTCTGATGTCTGCTGTCGTTGTGTCCTTGGCAAGACACTTAAAGAAGATTTACCAGATTTATTTTCAAATTAGTTCATAAAAAAATGCGTATGAATACATACAAGTTGTATTAACCTCTTAACAACCGCCTCATTTTGGCTCGTGCACAATGGTTGGGCATACCCAAATGTCTTTGCTTATTTAAAAACACATCTTACATCTCACATGCTTGTGTGATGCATCATTTTAAAGCTAGAGCCTTCTAGTTTATGTAAAAAAACACTAAAATAATGTTTGTCATTCCTATTTTCCTCTGCATCCTTTGAAGTTAGGGAAAAAAACCCAATTTTTTTAGCCTCGCCTAACATTTTCAATTTCTAAAGGCCCTAAAAAAGGCATACTTCATTGTAAGTTCACAATATTCAAACCGTCTGTTCATTGTGTTGTTGACAACAACTGTCTAAAGTTTCAGACTTGTAAGTTTTATAGTTTTTATGCAGTTTCTCCTTTTCATCAAGTAGTGCACATTTGGCACAATTTGGCACAAGTGTGCCAAATTGTGCCAAATATCTTTACTTACATTTAATCATCATAAAAACAATATTTTTCATTATTGGTACTTATAAGTTACTAATCTATGTGTGTTTTTCTTTTTTAAATGTCAAAGTTATTTTTTTATGAGTGTAAATTCATTGCAGCTTCGAGAGCGTCTTTTGGCTTCCATTACGCACAATTGTCCAGGCACAACATAAGACAGGACACCATTGTCCCACCCCTTGTTCGAAAGCTTTCCTCATTGGCTACAAGGACATGTCAATCGTAAATCCCGGAAGTAAAAGCAAACAAGTTGGGAGCACAACAAAGATCAGTCCTCCATGCGCAAACAGCAGCACGAGCGGTACTTGCGGGAGCTATTGCAGACCCAAAAATTGGTCTAGCTTTTCGGGAGTAGTCTCATTTGAAAGATAAGGAGCTAAGGAACACGTAGATACCAGATGTTTGGGTGAAAAACAAAGCTAAAAGTCCGTTAAAAGTGAAAGAGTAACATCTGTGCTCTTTTTTTTTTCGTTTTTTTCGCTAAAGATAAATGCACATTTTTGGATTATTTCTGCAGAATGGATTTTACTTTGGGAAATACAAGTGGATATAATTTTCCTTTGGACTGTTCCAGAGAGAATGATGTATTGCAAGCTGGGAGGAGAGCTGATTTATTTGTACAGCACAAGCCCAAAGGTAAAAAACTATTTCGGAATTGATTTATTTTGTGCCCACATTATGTGTTATATCTTTTGAATGCAAAGTCTGATGTAGTTTACACTTGTATATAAATGTAGATAAGAAAATAAGCTTTAAAATGATATACAGCTTTTGGGGTTTGGTGTTCAAAATACATCTGCTATTGCCAGCAGAACATTTAAAAACATAAAAACGGCCGCCGGCGCGCCGGTTGTTGCAAAGTGGTTAAAATACGTAATTTAATTGAAAACTTTGAAAGCTTGTGTAAGAATTCAAAGTGCTGCGCAGAATCTCTCCTCCAATCACAGGACGAGGAGCGGCGCTGTTACGAATAGGCTGCGTCCTCTACATCTACAGCGCTGATAAACAAGAGCAGCATGTTGGGAGAAAATGGCTGTACTACAACTGGCTGTAACTGCAGATACAGAAAAACAGCCCAAACGACGCAACAGTGAGGAAGAGAAGCGGGAACAAAAGCGAAAAAATTATCAAAGACGAAATCCCCCCTGGACTGCCACCTTAACGTGGTGGGGGAGTTTGAGTACTCGGATGATCCTGGGAGCTATGCTGTCTGGGGCTTCATGCCCCTGGTAGGGCCTCCCATGGCAGACAGGTCTCAGGTGACGAGTCAGACAAAGCGCAGTCCAAAAACCACCATGGATCGCACTACAACGAGAGCAGTGACGTCGCCCGGCATGGCGCAGCCGGGGCCCCACCCTGGAGCCAGGCCTGGTGTCGGGGCTTGTATGCGAGCGCCTGGTGGCCGGGCCTTAGCCCACGGGGCCCGGCCGGGCTCAGCCCGAAGGGATGACGTGGGCAGTCCCTCCTGTGGGCCCACCACCTGCAGAGGGGTCCGTGGTGGCGCGGTGCTGAGAGGACTGGGCGGCAGTCGAAGGCGGAGACCTCGGCGACCCAGTCCGCACACACAACATCTGGCTCTTGGGACGTGGAACGTCACCTCACTGGGGGGGAAGGAGCCCGAGCTTGTGGGGGAGGTTGAGCGATACCGACTAGAGATAGTCGGCCTCACCTCCACACACAGCTTGGGCTCTGGAACCCAACTCCTTGAGAGGGGTTGGACGCTCCACTTTTCTGGAGTTTCCCGCGGGGAGAGGCGGCGAGCTGGGGTGGCCATTCTCATTGCCCCCCATCTCAGCCGCCATGTGTTGGAGTTCTCCCCGGTGAATGAGAGGGTCGCGTCCCTCCGCCTCCGGGTTGGGGACAAGTCTCTCATTGTTGTGACGGCCTACGGGCCTAACAGCAGTGCAGAGTACCCGGCCTTCTTGGAGTCCTTGGGAGGGGTACTGGACGGTGCACCGCCCGGGGACTCCGTTATTCTCCTGGGGGACTTCAACGCCCATGTGGGAGTCGCCAGTGACACTTGGAGAGGGGTGATCGGAAAGAACGGCCCCCCTGATTTGAACCCGAGCGGTGTTCAGTTGTTGGACTTCTGTGCCAGTCACAGTTTGTCCATCACGAACACCATGTTCGAGCACAAGGGTGTCCAACAGTGCACGTGGCACCAGGACACCCTAGGTCGGAGGTCGATGATCGAGTTTGTTGTCGTATCATCTGACCTTCGACCGCGTGTCTCGGACACTCGGGTAAAGAAAGGGGCGGAGCTGTCAACCGATCATCACCTGGTTGTGAGTTGGATCCGCTGGCAGGGGAAGAAGCCGGCCAGACCTGGCAGACCCAAGCGTATAGTGAGGGTCTGCTGGGAACGTCTCGCTGAGCCCCCTGTCAGACGGACTTTCAACTCGCACCTCCGGGAGAGTTTCTCCCAGGTCCCGGCGGAGGAGGGGGACATGGAGTCCGAGTGGACCATGTTCTCTGCCTCAATCGCCGATGCGGCGGCTCGTAGCTGTGGTCGCAAGGTCTCTGGTGCTGGTCCCGGCGGCAACCCCCGAACCCGGTGGTGGACACCGGCAGTAAGGGATGCTGTCAGGCTGAAGAAGGAGTCCTATCGAGCCATGATGGTTCGGGGGACTCCTGAGGCAGCTGTCCAGTACCGGCAGGCCAAGCGTGCCGCGGCCCGGGCTGTTGCAGAGGCAAAAACCCGGGACTGGGAGGAGTTCGGAGAGTCCATGGAGCATGACTATCGGTCAGCCTCGAAGAGATTCTGGCAAACCATCCGGCACCTCAGGAGGGGGAAGCAGTTCTTTGCCAACACCATGTACGGTGCGGGTGGAGAGCTGCTGACCTCGACTGGGGATATTGTCGGGCGGTGGAAGGAATACTTTGAGGTTCTCCTCAATCCCCCCGTCACGTCCTCTGTTACAGAGGCAGAGGCTGAGGATGTTGGGGCGGATACATCCATCTCCCTGGCTGAGGTCACCAAGGTGGTTGGTAGCCTCCATGGTGGCAAGGCTCCGGGTGTGGATGAGATCCGGCCTGATTATCTAAAGTCTCTGGATGTTGTAGGACTGTCTTGGCTGACACGTCTCTGCAACATTGCGTGGCGATCGGGGGCAGTGCCAATGGAGTGGCAGACCGGGGTGGTGGTCCCTCTCTACAAGAAGGGGGACCGGAGGGTGTGTTCCAATTATCGTGGGATCACACTCCTCAGCCTCCCCGGTAAGGTCTACTCCAGGGTACTGGAGAGGAGGTTACGGCCGATGGTCGAATCTCGGATCCAGGAGGAGCAGTGTGGTTTTCGTCCCGGTCGCGGAACACTGGACCAGCTCTATACTCTCCATCGGATACTCGAGGGTTCATGGGAGTTCGCCCAACCTGTCCACATGTGTTTTGTGGATTTGGAGAAGGCGTTCGACTGTGTTCCCCGGGGTGTCCTTTGGGGGGTTCTCCGGGAGTACGGGGTCGGGGGTCCTCTGCTGAGGGCCATCCGATCCCTGTATGACCGGAGCCAGAGCTGTGTTCGCATTGCCGGCAGTAAGTCAGACCTGTTCCCGGTGAATGTTGGCCTCCGACAGGGCTGCCCTTTGTCACCGGTTCTGTTCACTGTATTTATGGACAGAATATCTAGGCGCAGCCAGGGGTCGGAGGGGGTCTGGTTCGGAGACCACAGGATTTCATCTCTGCTGTTTGCGGACGATGTTGTCCTGTTGGCTCCAACGAACCAGGACCTGCAACATGCACTGGGGCGGTTTGCAGCCGAGTGTGAAGCGGCTGGGATGAGAATCAGCACCTCCAAATCCGAGGCCATGGTGCTCGACCGGAAAAAGGTGCCTTGCCCTCTGCAGGTGGGTGGAGAGGTCCTTCCTCAAGTGGAGGAGTTCAAGTATCTCGGGGTCTTGTTCACGAGTAAGGGAAGAATGGAGCGTGAGATTGACAGGCGGATCGGTGCAGCGTGCGCAGTGATGCGGTCGCTGTATCAGACCATTGTGGTAAAAAGGGAGCTGAGCCGAAAGGCAAAGCTCTCAATTTACCGGTCAATCTTCGTTCCCTCCCTCACCTATGGTCATGAGCTTTGGGTAATGACCGAAAGAACGAGATCGCGGATACAAGCGGTCGAAATGAGCTTCCTCCGCAGAGTGGCTGGGCGCTCCCTTAGAGATAGGGTGAGGAGCTCAGTCACACGGGAGGAGCTCGGAGTAGAGCCGCTGCTTCTCCACGTCGAGAGGAACCAGTTGAGGTGGCTCGGGCATCTGTTCCGGATGCCTCCTGGACGCCTCCCTGGGGAGGTGTTCCGGGCACGTCCCACCGGGAGGAGGCCCCGCGGAAGACCTAGGACACGCTGGAGGGACTATGTCTCTCAGCTGGCCTGGGAACGCCTTGGGGTCCCCCCGGACGAGCTGGAGGAAGTGTGTGGATAGGGAAGTCTGTGCGTCTCTGCTTAGACTGCTGCCCCCGCGACCCGACAACGGATAAAGCGGAAGAAAATGGATGGATGGATGGACGAAATCAAGCTTGGGTGAACATAGCTAGCTTAATCCATTTAGTCTTATTTCAAGAACTTTCTTTTTAAAACAAATCTCCTTTTGAGGCAGTCAAATTAAAATACATTTTACCAAAGCCAAACACATTGAATCATTTTACAATATTTTTGGCAGTGTAACTGAATATAATGTATTTGCGGATAGCAGATACCAGTGTTAAACATTTATACAATAGGGGTTCAGGGAAATGTGTTTGTGCCAGAAGTTCATGATACTAAGAGTGGGGCAGTATTTTGTAACAATAATGTTAGATACTACAGACTTTTAAACCTCGTCTCCCAAATAAGAACAGTGCACTCTGTCAATTTAATCTTTAGAAGTTTAATTTTAAAATGTCTAAACAGGAGGCATATTCATAAACAATATCCTCATTTATCAAATTAATAATAGGTGGAGGAAGGAAGTCTGTTTACCTGTACGATTTCTGTTTTTTGAAGAAGAAAACCTCCAGCTGCAAATTATTCACTGAAGCAATAAAATGACCCTAAACAGAAAACAAGACAAATTAGCACAAGAGAGATGACAGATGTTTTATCTATGGACATTAAAAGGGTTTGAGAAAAACAAATATCTAACTCTAATTTACTTACATCTCATAGATGAAGCAAATACGTTTGAACAAAAGTCACTTTATAAACACCACGTACCATGTAGTATTTTTCATTTTTAAGCACCAAGTGAAATTTGTTATAATAGTAAAAAAGAAAAAAGGGGAAAAAACTACAAATAAAAACTTTCTTTGAGGCCAGGAAGCTCTAGAAAGAATGACTAATCTCAGTGGGACTTTCATGGTAAAATAGGTCAATAATTAAATAATAAAGACTATTTATTGATCCCACAGTGGGGAAATGTCAGTGTTGCATCAACAGTTACAGAGCAGTAGGTATAAAATCTCTAGCTTTAGCATAATAAGGAAGGAAGAACATGGATGATATTTTCCTAATATCAAAGCAGAACAATAATACTAACAGGTGTAAAAAAAAACATGATTCAAAAATAATTGTGTTTATATTGTATTTTGCGTACCCCTCGTCCGAAACTGACAGCTGCAGGGTTTGAACTGACGTCTTCGAGAACGGCAGAAAACTCTCGCGCTTCGACAAACTGTTCTGGGCTCTGCGGCAACTGCACCGCAACCAACCGAAACGTGTCTGGGGGAATTCATAAAATACTTTAAAATGTGTGCCCATGGGAATCAAAATTAGAGTTGAAAGATGACAGTGACAAAGACAATTTGTCCAAAGAAACGTGAATAAATGTTATATTTGGGTTCTGTCTATACTTCAAGCCTTCTTCACGAAACTATGTGACATCACTGACATGACATGAAAATATGTAACAATCTGAAAAGCAAAAACACAAGACACATACCTGACTTCTTGTCATCCTTTGCTGGTACAGTGAGAAACAGGACTCCATCATGGCTTCCCGAAGAATATACTGCATAAATGGGACAGCCAATCGAAAATGTCTGTGGAATTGATCAATTAAGTGTTAGGAATAGAATCACTGATTTTGTCTTTTATAAATGTTATCAGAGCAATAAGTGTTAAGTTACCTTTATGAGAATGCCGTCTGTGTAGTCCCACAGTCTGACAGTGCCATCTAGTGAGCAAGAAAAGACCTGCAGAGAATAAGAAGACATTTAATAATAACAACAACAGGTAAAGTGACTAGTGTGTGGTCAGAACAGGTGAAAGAAATGTGTACAGACTCAGCAGTTCTCATTGCACAGTATTACAGCAGCAGGAAGAAGTATCTGTGATAGACATACATACATATTGCACATTCTGACATTATTTCGAAGTATTGCACAGATACATGACATGTGAGGTCTGTCTGCCGTGTTTATTATTAGTCCTTGTTGTACCATGTGTAATAGGACTATACCTGCAGTTGGTTGGACGGTCGCAGGGAGAGTCCTGTGACGAGGCCGGTGTGTGCGAGGAGGTGGTGGACACACTCTTCTGTGGAGGCACTGAACACTTTCACTCCATCTCCAGACGCACACAGCAAGAACCTACACAACACAAGGAGTGAGTAAAATCACATTAGAGCATAGTGCCATGGTCAGAGAGAATGAAAACCAATGCTAATCTGCTTGTCTACATCTTATTTTGATCCCCCCCATTGTCACAAATGTTTGAGGAAAGGAACTTATCTGACTTTTGCATAAGCTCCTTAGCAACCATTGCCAAGACCAAGAGACAGACACATAATACAGACAGAGAGAACCACAGACAGACACACATACAGACTAGAAAAAATAATTTCCACATTTTACTCATTTATACTATACAGTTACTAAATTAAGGCTACTTGTTAATTTATCGATGTGTAAAATGAATCAAACTATATATGTAAATTCAGTACATAAAAGCACTGATTAACAACGATATTAAAAACATAGTAATTTTTATTTACAAAAGTTGACTAAACTGAACGCAGCATAGTATACATTTACAACATGACTTGCCATGTTGAGCAGCAAATTCACGAATTCCTCCAGCATTCTACTATTACATGTGACATTGAGGAACCATATAAGATATATAGTAAAAATAAAGCTCTTATACGTAGTGTATCATAATTGGAGGGCAAGATAAAAAAAAAAAGTTAATTACTATTTAACTTACTATTGCTACTAATGAATTGAAATCTGTGACACATATTTACAAATCTTCAGAGAAATAAAATAAAAATTGGAAATTAAAAATGGATTGGATGAAGCAGGTTCTAGATGTGACATGTGTTATTTCTTAATAATCAGAAATAAAGCTATGGAGAGCAGAGAGAGTCAACGTAAGAAGAAATCCCATACAATTTATATCAATATTTATGTATGTAACAAATAAATATAAGGGAAGGATACATTTATGACATGTTGAACCCAATGTAAACAGCACCCACGACACCAATCGATGCTAACGCTACATGCTAACACCACCGCTAGCTTCCAAGTTTATCTAACAGGACAGACCGAATTCAGTTATCTCCGTTCGGATGGAAGCACGTTGGGATCAAATGATGCCATACCTTGAATCGTGAGTAAAGATAGGTTGTCTAAAGTTAAGTTTACTGCCTCCTCTGTGAACCACGCGGATCTCCCCGTGTTCCACCATGCTTGACCTGCACCGCTTTGGCTGCTTCCCAAATCACATATGTTAAATTCCTTCCTTCTCCTTTCTTTCTACTCATCAAATAGAATTACATTTTTTACATTGGTAGCATTATAAACGTCTTAATTTGATTCAAATTTCTACTTGACCAAGTAACGAAACCAATATTATTTCCTAAAAGTCAATAGAAAGGGTATTTTATTTAAGAATTTGGATGCAGTCTTTCTCCTTTTTGTCGCTTTGAACTGCCTCCTACTGGACTGGATGCTAAATATTTACAGTCTATGCCTCAAATATAATATTTCTTTTACATTGATTTGTGTAACCCATTTATTTATAATACAAACAAAATATTTTTTTCATACACCTGACAACAAAACAAGGCTTAAATTAATGGTTTGCAGTCGATTTTCAGCAAGATCCTGGGTACAAATCCTGGTTGGAATAAGACCTTTCTGATCGAGTTGGCATCTTCCTCCCATGTCTGTGTAAGTTTCCTCCAGGTGCTACGGTTTCACCAATCTCTAACAACATGTTAGACCAAGCCGAGCAACCATTCAATTAATTATTGTTTAGCCCTAAATCACAACAGCAATCATCTCAGTGGACTTAACAAAACCGACCACTGCTTCCTGGTGACAATTAAGAATTGGGTCAAATCATGGATCTATAATAATAATGGGTCAAATGCAGTGGACAAATTCCCTACAATGACAATAAAGTGTATTTTATTCTCATTTGTCAAATACATTATTCTGTTTTCAGTAGTTTTAATAGACTGTAGAAGTTATAATCCTAGACACTAAACTAAATACAATCATTTGATGATTCAATCAAATTCTACTCTGATTTGTCAGATACTTTTTACTTCCTCCTGGTCAACCCACTGATTTGAATTCTCGTGACTCTTCACTGGATATAATACAATGTTGTGGCTGCACCGTATTGTATAAATAAGCATATTAATATTAATATGGCTGAGTGGATAGCACTTTCGCCTCTCAGCAAGCGGAGTTTGCATGTTCTCCCCATTTCTGCATAGGTTTCCTCCGGTTTCCCCGACCACTAAAAATATGTACAATAGGTCTGACATGCGCCTCCTGTTCGGCGACCCCGCTCCCATCTCTGTGTGGAGTGAGTGGACAAATGCCCAAAAAAAAAAAAAAAAACAGTTGTAAACCGCTTTGTGACTCTGGTCTGTGAAAGGCGGTATATAAATAAAGATTACTTACTATTATGAGTTCTGAAAAAAAATATTATAATTAAACATCTAAGGTTTTCTTGATGTAAAATCAAGTGGTGTGTGAAATATATTTATTAGTAGAATAATCAATATTACATGCACATTAGAAGTGACATAAAATACACAGCAACAGAAAACATGTAGAATTTTAAACCAAAATCACAAATACAAAGAGCACATAATTAAGAGCAATGGTAGTCTATACGTTTGTTTTCCTCCCACTCTATTTCAAACTTATAAAATGTAATTAAAGCTGTTAATAGATTGAAATTGTAAGCAATATTACCACGTGGTGAAAAAATACTTAATACTGCAATTACTAAAAGTTAATGTACTTTTGTTTTTTTATCTCCATAAACAAGGTAGTGTGGACAAATTACTTACGTTTTGTGTTTCTTTGGGTTTCCTAACCGTCTTGAACTGTCTACTTTACAACAGCAGATCTTTAAATGATGCTTTCTTCTTACCTCCATCAGGTAAACATGACATTTTCCCATTCACGTCATATCTTTTGTAACAGCAGCTATAAAGGAGTTGACCTCTAGCATAATAGGTATTAGCCGTGATCTGTCAAACAGATACCATACAAGAATAACTGTCTAATGCCCTTCAAAGATGAATATTCCTTAAACACTTTTATTTAACATAAATGCTACTTCTACAAAACTTCAGTTAGTTTGTTCACGTACTAACTCTTTACCTCTTTAATTTTTTATAGTTATTTTTTGGACACAAGCTTCATATCACACAATTCTTTCACTCCATGCACAGTGGTGATAAACTACTACTGTAGCCACAGCTGCACAAGGGCAGATAGACAGAGGTGAGGCCCCTCCACCACTACCAACCAATCACACACACACCAGACTCATTCTAGGCAATGTGGGTGAAGTAGTGGGTGGGCCTAAGGACACAACGAGAGATTGGCACTTTACAGGCGCCCCACATGTGGCACATAGTGTGAGGTCTCCCATTACAGTATCTTAGGTAAATATAACATATTAATCCCGAGGGAAATGATCCTTCCAATTTCTTTTGGTTCTTAATTTTTATTTTATATATTCTATTCCATAATCATAAATCACGGGCCAACCCGTTTTTAGTATTGAGTTGGTTTGGCAACATTATTAACCTTTTTGTTTATAGAATCCAACCCCTTGTCCAATCGTCACTGGCTCTCAAGGTCCAAGACAATAGATCGGATGTATTAATTTTAGTTCAACAAATTAAACCCTATGACAATTTAATTCTATTCAGAAAATTTAAACGCATTCTATGTTTTTTTTCCAACCGTAACTGATCAAATGTGGTTTAAAAAAAAAGGCCTGTTGTTGATGGTGATTTCATTCAGTCCTCAGGAAACTCGAAGGAATAGAATCAGATCAAACCAAAGTTTGCTCTATTGTTTAACAAACACTAATGTTAGAATATTTCATTTGGAATTTGGAATTTGGAATAAAGCCGTTGCTCTCATATGATATTATAAGCTGAAATATTTATTTATCCTATGTTTTGTTTTTGCAAAGCATGTGCCATGCTGCTGCAAGAGCTGGTTTTGATCCGTGTTTCAGGATTGCATTTGTCATAATTGTACAAGCGTTGATTTCCTGAGGACAGTATGAACGCAGCATCGGAGCCATAACTGTGGAGATCTGACCCTCACATCAGAGAGCACCCTTGCTTTCCGCTACTTTGATGTGCTTGTTGAAGTATGTTAAACAGAGTTTGCAGATGGCCAAGATAGCATATAGCATTCTGAAGTTGTTCCTGTGATGGAAAATTCTGCCTTGCCCACTGAATTCCTCCAATCGAGGCCGCTACCACCCAGCTAGTGACCGTGGCCCAGGGGATGGCCTGGTACAAGAAGACGCTCACTGCACCAACGCCCAAAAGCGCAGCCACTTGGATCCCGAGTGGGGCATCTCTGAATCTCTGCCACAGAGATCTATTCTGCAGGAGGTAGCTGGTGAAATGTGTGCCGCCGTTAGCTTGAACTGCCAGGTCGACAGAGTAGAGGATATCCTGCACTTGTTTGTAGTTGTTTCTGTATTCTGCCCCCTGCTGGTTACCCCAGTATCTGTTGTCAACAACATGGCAGCGGTTGCTGCACTTCAACAGCAGATCTTTCAAAGCTGGGCTGTTTTGAGCCCATTCATAAATTCCTTGGCCACTGGGGAGGTCATTGCCATGAGTGAAAACGATAGTTGTGTAGCGGAGAGCTTCTTCTGAAAAGAGATGCAGGATCATGTCGACCGCTGCCTGCTCGTGTGCCGTGTACCTCTCTACTTTCAGAAGCAGCAGGAAGGCGTGAGGTCCAGGGGCACAACTTTCCAGACACCTACAATTACATTTAATCATGAATACAATAACAAAACAATTACCACGTCTAAACAGTGATAAAAACTGCTAATCTCTCTTTCAAGAAGAAATTTAGAAAAGCCCATTAGAGTTGGCGGACAAACAGCTAACAGGTTTCTTAAAAAGGAAGGTGGGAAATTTGAAATTATTGGTTGTAAAATAACTCCATTACTTTACACTAAGTAATTATGATATAATATGCGTTAAAAAAAAGTACAGTACTCTGCTTCCAATAGAGGGCAGCAGAGTATTGTCACTGTCTGTCTGTAGGCAGGAATATTGTGCAAAAAAAACAATGGACCTATTGATCTGAAGTTTTGTGTGGAGATGTGATGTAAGACCCCACTTGCATTTTGATGTGATCTGTGGTGTGGGTATGACATGTATTTTGTGAATCTTAATAATATGTATGTTGTCTCTATACATGTCTGTGTATGTCCTTTAAATCGTTTCCCTGTCCCCACTGACACTATTAATCATGAGAACCTCTTATGGAGCCTTGAAGCCTTGAATCGTTGGGACTGCCCACAAGTGTTGCTTAGCGGAAAGACGTTGGAGCTGTCTATTTTTTGTTGAAGTGAAGGTCATGACAAAATGTGTTATCAGAACAGATTATACATTTACTTTTTGCCTGGTGCCTGCCTCCCTGTGCTCCTTCCCCTCCCACCCCTCCCCCCCCCCTTCTTCCCAAAATCATGGACGATGCACTGACCTCAGTATTTCAGGACTATATTGGGCAGCGCGGCTCGGGTCTGTGTCGAACAGTCCTGGGGTGTCGATGAGGGTGAGGGGCCTGCCGTGGGCCATGTAGGAGGCAGACTGACACACTTGGGTCATAGAGTTTGGGGAGTTGGACACTGCGAACACATTAGCTCCAAATATGGTGTTGGCCAAGCTGCTTTTTCCTGTCCCGGTCTTCCCCAGGAGCATGATCCGCCTTGTTCCTGTGAAGAATGTCAAACTTGATGATAACAGTAGAGTGGAATGCACAGAGTCAGGTAATGAACCAGTCATAGTGGCATATTTTAACATTGGATATGAACATTATGAAGAATAGTCGCTGTATTTTATTTTGAACAAGAACACACAAATAACATATGATTGAAAAAATTAGTTGAAACAAGTATTTATAGAGTAACGGGGTCAGATCAACTACTGCAACTACAGCGACTTTTGTCAGTTCCAAGGGCGCGCGCTGCTTCAGTGAAATGTTTAAAAGTGACATCACAACTTCACCAATAAAACATCCATGAACCACACAAACTGTTGATAGAGTGAAAACACAATATTAACGTGAGCACTTACCGTCCATGGTCGCGTCGATGTGAAGGTAGTGAAAATAAGTTTTTCCTGTAAGTCGCCTCCCCAGTCTTCCTCTAAGTTTACTTTCGGTTTCGATTTGACGCACGTACACATGTCCTGGAATTTTGTAATGTATAACTGGATACACAACATAGGAACATATGTTAAACATAGGATTTATACAATGTTTTTGACGCTCAGATGGCTGTTTAGAACTGGCTGGTGTCGGTAGAACTCCATGAGAAAGAAGCGATGGAAAATGAAATGCATTTGAATGTTGTGGTGGTTTTTATAATTCACCCATGAAGTGTCATGATGTGCGCCCATAGGCCACTATATTTTGCGTCATCACGCATGACACGTTTTGAGACATGTGTTTGGTCACGAGTGACTATGGTTCTGTATGAGAATAAAGTACACGTTTAGAAGTTACAACATCTCTTCATTTCTTCACATCGCTGTACACGAGATGGTGTCAGAAGTGGTCGACGACAGGACGCCTGCATAAGAGCAATGGCAAAGTTCGGACCGCCAGAAACGTTTGACTTTTCCAAACAAGCAGAGTGGCCAATATGGCGCCGCCGCTTCGACCGGTACAGGGTCGCTACGAAGCTCGACAGAGACAGCGGCGAAGTGCAAGTCAACACACTTCTCTACGCTTTGGGAAGAGAAGCAGAGCCAATATATGATTCATTTGTGTATAGTGACAGCGAAGATGAAAATAGTGACGATGAAGAGAGGACTCAGTCACGGTTTGACTACTCAAAAGTGATAGCTAAGTTCACGGAGCATTTTGTGCCCAAACGCAACGTCATTCACGACCGTGCTCTTACTACGGCGACCATTGCCTCTAGCTTAGTGGCATCAGGATCTGGGTCAAATCAGATGATAAATAAAACTGCACCTTTGCTGTACATCCAAGGTCAATGACATCATCAGCCCATGTGGACAAACTAAACTACCCAATCCTGCACCTGCTGATAACAATTCAATCTGGAGCGACTCGAACAGACAAAAGTATTAGAATTGTATGTTGATTGTAGGTATTTGTAGGAAATCTGACACAGCATAAATTACACATAACAGACACTGAGGGTTATATTTTCAAGATTACATTTATTGTGATGTACAGACTGTGGTTAGGATTTGGCCTTATAGTGCTTTCAGACCGCCAACGCTGAGACGCTGAAGCCGTGTTAGGGTGATGATCTGGCACGCCCCGCTCACCAGACGCGCATTCTCTAGTTTTCAGACGCACGGGTCTTCACACCAGAACGTCCTGACGTGTGCCGGAAATAGCCGGCCGGCTCTGATACTAACAGAGTTTAGCTCGCGGCTTCTTGTGTAAAGATCTTCTCCAATATGCAGCTTTGCAGCGTGTCTTTGCTCACAGACATTCCACGGGCTTTATATAACATTAGTATGTGCTCACGGAGGTGCGCCATGCGTTTTTTCATATTATTAAATGGTATTTCCGCATCGGCGAACACACTCAAAGCAGTAATAGGTCACGGGAGTATGAAAACTGGTGAAGCCTGGTGTGGGTCCTGTTTTGGTTGTTTATTAGTATTTTCAGTCTTCTCGCTCAGTCTGCTAATGTCCCCGTGACCACTTTGCGGCTCTCTGATTGGTTGTCGCACGAACGTCCCATGGAAAGGATGAGCAGAATCCATCTCCTGTGGGCGTTGATTTTTCGCTCCTGCTCCTCCCTTTCCCGCCAAGTCCGTGCGTCTCTATTGAGCGGTCCGTGCGTCATACTGAGTGGTCCGTGTGTCATACTGAGCGTTCCATGCATTGCGACGGTTGAACGCGCGTCACCATAGACTTTGCATTGAAACCCGACGCAACGCATGATCCGGTCTGAAAGCAGACCCCGGCAGAGCACAGGGGTCTAAATGGGTATACAAATACACAGGTGGTATCAAAACGTTACAAAACAAAAGTGGTCTAAACAGAGAATTTCTGATATGACTGCTGTCTCAACAAAAGCAACTGTCACAAAACATATAGGCCTTTTATAAAGATGTAAATTTTTCCGTGTCCAGAAAGATTTGTATTTATTTTTTTTGGTCAAATATGGCTCTTTGAACATTTAGGATTGCCGACCCCTTACGGCGCTCACAACCATCACACCCAAAACCGCAGCTACGCTGATCGCAGCACCGAGTCCCTCCCACATGGATCTATCACGCAGGAGGGAGCTGGTGAAATGTGTGCCGCCGTTAGCTTGAACTGCCAGGTCGACAGAGTTGAGGATATCCTGCACTTGTTTATAGTTGTTTCTGTATTCTGCCCCCTGCTGGTTGCTCCAGTATCTGTTGTCAACCACATGGCAGCGGTTGCCACACTTCAACAGCAGTTTTCTCAAAGCTGGGCTGTATTGAGCCCATTCATGAATTCCTTGGCCACTGGGGAGGTCATTGCCATGAGTGAAAACGATAGTTGTGTAGCGGAGAGCTTCTTCTGAAAAGAGATGCAGGATCGTGTCGACCGTTGCCTGCTCGTGAGCCGTGAACCTCTCTACTTTCAGAAGCAGCAGGAAGGCGTGGGGTCCTGGGCCAAAACTTTCCAGATACCTACAATAATCATAATAATACATTTCATTTTTAGGCACGCAAGGTTGCCCTACAAACGGTACACAGCTAAAAAGAAAAACAATTAAGAGCAAAAACAGTTTTTAAAACAATTACATTTATTCATTTAAACAGTATTCTATATTCAAAGTGAACAAAACTAAATCTGAACAGCAAACGTTTGGTACTCTTCTACATCTATTAGAATTTGGTGAGCTTATTTATTATCACCCTAATTTGCCAAAATAACATAAAATTGTGTTTTGCAGTGCGTCAATCTGTCTAAAACAGATTATACATTTACTTATTGCATGGTGCCTGCCTCCCTGTGCTCCCCTCCCTCCCCGTCCCTTCCCTTAGGTCCCACAATCATGGACGATGCCCCCTCCCCTCACTCCCTCCCTCCCCTTACTCCCTCCCTCCCCTCACTCCCCCCCTCAGGCACTGACCTCAGCAGTTCAGAATTATATTGAGCAGCCTGGCTCCGGTCTGTGTCGAACAGTCCTGGGGTGTCGATGAGGGTTAGGGGCCTGCCGTGGACCATGTAGGAGGCAGACTGACACACTTGGGTCATAGAGTTTGGGGAGTTGGACACTGCGAACACATTAGCTCCAAATATGGTGTTGGCCAAGCTGCTTTTTCCTGTCCCGGTCTTCCCCAGGAGCATGATCTGCCTTTTTCCTGTGAAGAATGTCAAACTTGATGATAACAGTAGAGTGGAATGCACAGAGTCAGGTAATGAACCAGTCATAGTGGCATATTTTAACATTGGATATGAACATTATGAAGAACAGTCACCGTACTTTCTTTTGAACAAAAACACACACATAACATACATATGATTCAAAATATTAGTTAAAAGAAACATTCATAAAGAATCGGGATCACTTCAACTACTCTATCTACAACTACATTATGTCGAGCGCTGTTTCAGTGAAATGTTTCCATCTGACATCACACATAACTTTTATATTTACAGTCTATGACATAACCACACCAATGAAATACATCCATGAACCACACACACTTTAGAGTGATAACGGAAACACAATATTCACGTGAGCACTTACTGTCCATGTTCGTGGTGATGTGAAGGGAGTGAACAAAATGTTTTCTCTGCAAGTCTCCTCCCCAGTCTTAGAACCCCCTCCAAGTTTACTTTCAGTTTCGATTTGACGCATTATAGATTCATGATGTACTCATGTCCTGGTATTATCTATTGAATAACTTCATAGATAAGTTAAACATAGGATTTATAAAATGTCTTTGATGCTCACGTGTTTCAGCTGGAGGGCTTTTGTCAATAGAACTTTGAGAAAGAAGTGTCCAAATGATCATGTTAATTTGAGATAATTATTGACGTATGTTATTCTACGTCATGGTGCTACGTCCCTTAGGACTTCGCTAGTGGGATATCACGTGACCCCCAGGTCACAGACGCCAGAGAGATCAAAAATAATTTGCTCCAATCACCAGCCACCTTCCTCTATAAATGCCCCTGCACAAGGCCGCACCCCCTCTTTCACTCTGGCGCCGTTTGAGATCTACATTCGTTACCTGAGAAAGAAAGATGTCTTCTGATGCACGTCCGAGTTCCCCTTCGCCATCCGGCGTCGGACGTCGTCGTTGCTCGACCTGTCGGGGCAAGCTCCAACGCAGGGACCAGCACTCCAGCTGCTTCATGTGCCTGGGTGCGGGCCATGCGGCGTTGAGCGCCACCTGCGCCTCGTGTGTCGCTCTCCCCAGGGAGGAGAGTGAACGCAGGCGCGCGTTCTTCGCCGCTACAGCGCCCCGTCCGGACTCCTCTAAGGACGAGGAGTCTGAGATTGACTGGGCCCCCCTCGACATTCCACCTGTGCCCGCGGAGTGGGGTGACTGCGAGGACGGAGAGGTGTCGGAGGTCGGCTCTCTCCTCACGCTGGACGAGGTGGTGTCCAACCCGGAGCCGGACCGCTTCCCGCTGGACCACATGCCTGGGCTCTACGCCACGGCGGCGGCCATCATGGATGCCCCCCTGCCACCGCAACCGAACCAGAGGGTGGAGGACTTCACCTCTGGGTACGCAGCCCCTCGAGGGAGGAGGAGAGCCCAGCCCACGTTGTGCCCGCGTATGGACCCGATCGTCCATTACGCGACACGTGAGTGGCCAAAACCCCTAGCGGCCAAGAGGCCCGCTTTGGGGTATGGCATGTACTGCAACGTGCAGGACTGGTCCTGGACAGGCGGGGTCCCGGACATCGAGGACTCGGTTCGGGCGGCCCTGCACCCCTCCTCATCCGTGTGGCCCAGCACCAGACCTCTCCTTCCCTCCGAGCGGGATAGGATGTCTCTGGCTATGCATGACAGATGTTACGCCAATGCGGCTCAGGTCGTCGCGGTGGCGAACAACATGGCTTTCATCACCGGGGCCCTGGATAGGTCTCTCTCCTCTGACCAGGCACTCAGTGGAGACACCTTAGCCCAGGCGAGGACCACTTCAGCAGCGATCTTGCGCATGTGCCAAGCGCTAGCTGTCGATGGCGGCCGCTCTATGGCAGCAGCCCAGGTCGGGGCCAGACACCTCTGGCTGGGGGCGGTGAACCTCAGAGAGGCGGAGAAGAGGCAGCTGCTGGACCTGCCCATCTCCCAGACGTCGCTCTTCGGTCCGGAGATGCAGACGCTGATGACGAGGCTGGACAGCGCGGCTAAGGACTCGGCTAGCCTAGCAAAACACCTAGCTACGAGACGCGAGGCCCGCCCACCAGCGCGGAGCCGAGACAGAGGCAGGGAGCGCTCGCCTGGCAAGCGCCCCGGACCATATCCACGCTCCGTGGTCCATCGTTCCCCAGCGGCGAGACCCCCGGGCCCAGACAGGCACACGGGAGGTTCGCGGGACCAACACACCCATCGACGGCCTCCCTACGGTAGAGGAGGTCGGGGTGGTAAAAACTCTTTCAATAAAGGCCGTCCGGCATTTCACCAGTACTCGCTGTCTGAGTCTCATTTGGGGGTATGTAACATGTCAAATGATTTGAATTCTGTTTGTGTTACTTCTCGAGCATATAACGTGGCTCCGCCAGGCCTGCAGCCCCCAGAGAAGGGCGTGCAGCGCGCTGTGCAGACCACGAGCTCCGATTCACGGGTTCATGTTTTGCCCTCCCGGAGAGAGGGCAGGCGGAGGGATCTGATAAGTGCTAATGTGTGTGCTCCGGGCGCTAGCGTGTTAGCATCTCTGAGCTACAAGGCTAACACGGGGTTTCCCAATCCAGGGGCTCTCCCCCCCCTCCATGAGGCAAGAGCCAAGGGGGGGCGCAGCAGCCGTGTCACGCGTGATGAGCAGAGCTACATTGCTAACACGGGGTTTCCTAATCCAGGGGCTCTTCCCCCCCTCCATGAGGCAAGAGCCAAGGGGGGGCGCAGCAGCCGTGTCACGCGTGATGAGCAGAGCTACAATGCTAACACGGGGTTTCCCGATGCAGGGGCTCGCCCCCCCCTCCATGAGGCAAGAGCCAGGGGGGGGCGCAGCAGCAGCCGGGTCACGTGTGGTGAGCAGTCCCGTACTTATGACGTCGGACCTGCAGAACACGTGACCGCCCTCGGCGCTCACGGTGTGACGCAGGGGCCCCCCCGGCCCTTTCAGCCACCCCCCCTCCCTGCTAGGAACACCAGGAGGGGGCGGGGCCATGACGTCTCGTGTTCCAGCTCCCGTTCCGCCCCTCACAGATTTCTACGACATCTGGAAGGAGCAGGGCTTACTGACAGATGTTTGGCTGGAGAAAACTCTGCGCAGAGGTTACGCTCTGCAATTTTTCCGAAAGCCACCACCATTCCGAGGCGTACGGGCAGTACGCTCTCAGGTACGGGGATCGACAGAGGCACTGGAAGCAGAGGTCTCCTCCCTGTTGAGTCGAGGCGCAGCAGTGGAGGTAGACCCGCAGGACGCCACCAGGGGGCTGTACTCCCCTTACTTTCTGGTGCCAAAGAAATCAGGCGGGGTGCGTCCCATTCTGGATCTGCGCGTGTTAAACGAGTGCATTTCCAAACGGCAGTTTCGGATGCTGTCCACAAGGCAGCTCCTCGAGTGTGTCAGGGAAGGAGACTGGATGACATCCATAGACCTGACAGACGCATACTTCCACGTACCCATAGTGCCAGAACACAGGAGATTTCTGCGCTTCGCAGTGGGAGAGAGGAATTACGAGTACTGCCGTCTCCCTTTCGGGTACGCTCTCGCGCCTCGCACTTTTTCCAAATGTGTGGAAGCGGCTCTGGAGCCGATCAGACGTGCCGGGGTAAGAATATTGACCTATATAGACGATTGGTTAATACTGGCCCCATCCAGGGAAGTGGCCGTGAGCCACACGCACTGGGTCCTGTCCCACATACAGCGTCTGGGCTTTGTGGTGAACAGGGAGAAGAGCAAGCTGCAGCCAGCCCAACGCATGATTTACCTCGGTCTGCAGCTAGACTCTGTGATATTCCGTGCTGCATTGTCCGTGGACAGACGGACGAATATTACCCGTCTGGCCCGGGAGGTTCTGGCGGGCCCCAGAGTTCCCGCTCGGCGCCTCAGGTCCCTGCTGGGGATGATGGCAGCGGCTCATGCTGTGGTGCGGCTAGGCCTGCTCCACATGAGGAATTTTCAGAGGTGGTTCTCGCGCCTCAGGCTTCACCCCTCCCGGGACGGGGGGAGGCTGATCTGGGTTCCCCAAGGGGCAGCATCGGACATCAGGTTCTGGCTCACTCCGGGTCTACTGCGGGACGGAGTGACTCTGGCCTGCGCTGTGTCTCACGCCGAGGTGTTCACGGACGCGTCGCTCGAAGGATGGGGCGGGGTCCTCGGCCAGAGCTCTGTAGGAGGCTGCTGGTCGGACTCAGCCCGTCACATCAACCTGCTGGAGATGGAGGCAGTGCACAGAGTACTGCTGCACTTTGCCCCTCAGCTGCAGGGGAGACACGTGATGGTGCGCTCAGACAACACCACAGTGGTCTCCTATCTGAACAGGCAGGGGGGCACCAGGTCCCCCGCTCTCCATCGCATGGCGACGGTGACGCTGCTGTGGGCGGCGCTTCACCTCCTGTCTCTCGGGGCGCGCCACGTCCCGGGGGTCCGGAACGTGGGAGCCGACAGGATGTCCAGGGGGGGCCCACTCCAGGACGAGTGGGGCCTGGCCCCACGGGTAGCCGCGGAGATCTGGCGGAGGTTCGGTCGTCCAGTAGTCGACCTTTTCGCCAGTGCAGAGAACGCACAGTGCCCGTCCTGGTTCGCCTTAAGGGCCGCGGACGAGCCGCCTTTAGGCGTGGACGCTCTGGCTCATTACCCATGGCCAGGCGGCCTGTTGTACGCTTTTCCACCGGTGCGTCTCCTGCCGGTCCTACTGCGGAGGATCGAACAGGAGAGGAGGTCGGGTGATTCTGGTGGCTCCGGACAGCCCGCATGCCCGGTGGTTCCCCTTCCTGAGGGGCATGGCGGTGATGGAGCCCTGGGCCCTCCCGGACGAGCCGGGGGCTCTAGTCCAGGGGGCAGGAGCCCTGTTTTCACGTCCGATAATCGGCCGCAGGCTCTGGGTTTGGAGGTTGAGAGGCGGAGCCTCGTAGATCTGGGTCTTCCCCCTGCGGTGGTGGAGACAATTCAGGGAGCGAGGGCGCCGTCCACCGTGAGGGCCTACGCCACGAGGTGGAGGCTATTCAGTGCCTGGTGCGATTCCCGTTCCTGGGATCCCAGGTTTTGCCCGCTGGAGGGGGTCCTGGGATTCCTACAGGAGCTTTTCGACAAGGGGAGGGCTGTCGCTACCTTGGCGGTGTTTGCGGCAGCCATTACTTCGGGTCACGACGGGTTCGGGGGGTTCACAGCCCGCTCTCACCCGTTGTTTAAACGTTTTCTGCGGGGGGCGCGCAGGAGGAGGTCCCCGCTCCAGAGAACGCCTCCGGTTTGGGACCTCAGGGTGGTCCTTAGGGGGCTGTCGGGTTCGCCTTTTGAACCGGCGGCGGAGGCGAGTCCCGATTGTATCGCTTTTAAGACGGCCCTCTTGCTGGCGTTGGCGTCTGCAAAAAGGGCGGGCGATTTGTGTGCGCTCTCAGTCCATGCGTCGTGCCTGTCCTTTGGAGAGGACGACGGCATGGTGGAGTTGTGGCCCAATCCGGCTTTTCTCCCCAAGGTCATCACGTCGGCCTTTAGGTCGAGAGTGATCAGGATTAGGGCTTTCCACCCGCCGCCGCATGCCTCCCCCGAGGAGGAGCGGCAGCACCTTCTGTGTCCTATCAGAATGCTGAGGCATTACCTGGCCATGACGTCGTCATTCAGGTCGGGTGATCAGCTGTTTGTGTGTCTGGGCCCCAAGAACAGGGGCGCCCCGCTGTCGGCTCAGCGGCTGGCGCATTGGGTCGCCACGGCGGTGCGACGGGCGTATCAGGCGCAGGGCCTGGCCCCCCCGGTGGGTTTCAGGTCGCATTCCACGCGTGGGATAGCGGCCTCTACGGCCCTTCTCAGGGGGGCGTCGGTCGAGGACGTTTGCCGTGCGGCTTCTTGGGCGTCGTCCTCCTCTTTCGTCCGGTCTTATCTTTCGGATGTGTCGGACCGGTCGGTGGCCCATTCCGTGCTGAGTGCAGCGGATTGAGTTGGACCGTTGGGTCCCTCCCCTGAGGAGTGGGCCTTCGGTCTATTTTTCCGCCCTGGTGCAGGAGCTCTTGGGAGAGGCATCCTACAGGTGCGGTACATATATGTGTGTTTGATCGGTCTGGTAGTCTACATCAGGAGCTCTTGGGAGAGGCGTCCTGTGACTACGGTTGACCTACGATCGGTGTTACGTGGGGGCGTCCTTGGTAGGAGTGGCCCGGTAACACGCTTTGTTTCTTCTGCCCTGAGTCCTCTCACGGTGTGAGGGTCTTGCTCGGGCGGAGCTCCAATCACCCTTCGCTGGCCTGCTGGGAGTACATGTTCCTACGGCCTCCGCGTTGTGTCCCACTAGCGAAGTCCTAAGGGACGTAGCACCATGACGTAGAATTAATAGTTACCTAATGTAACTTAAGTTCTACGAATAGGTGCGTAGTCCCTTAGCTACGAGCCCATCAGGCCAGCCCGGCTTGGCAGAGTTCAAGAGGGGGTGCGGCCTTGTGCAGGGGCATTTATAGAGGAAGGTGGCTGGTGATTGGAGCAAATTATTTTTGATCTCTCTGGCGTCTGTGACCTGGGGGTCACGTGATATCCCACTAGCGAAGTCCTAAGGGACTACGCACCTATTCGTAGAACTTAAGTTACATTAGGTAACTATTAATTATTTGCCTGGCAGCTTACATTGCATGTTGCCTTGAATATATACAGTATATACATTCAGAGTTAGCCATTGTTAGTTGAATGTATTTGTTTATGGATATATAATAATTTAAACGGGATCACATAAACACTGGAGATGTCTAAAATGCACCACAAGGGAGCAGTGCTGTGCAATAAACAGGTGGATTGTGATGTGGACAATATACACTCAGATTCAGAAAACTTCGTTGATCCCAGAGGGCAATTATTTCATGCAGATTTAAAAACAATTGTTTAAAAAAAATGATTTTCATAATCTCTATTCTGTCTTGTAAACCATATATCAACGGGGACCTGGATTAAATGTAAACTAAAACTACTATTCAACTATTCAAATGAATATCATCCTTCAAAGAGGAGAGCATCATTACTTCTTCATTCAGACTCTAGATCCACATGAAAAGAGGAAACACAGAAAGACACAAAAAGATAATGCCCATGACCGCTTCAAATATTAAGGGTTGCTTAATATTGAAAGAGTTTGCTTTTTAATTAGGTCAACATGAGCCAGAGAAAAACTTGAGGATGACATTATAATACTGTAGATCCATGGAATGAGGAGTATCCATGAATATTTAGCCCTTCCCTTTGGGCTTTATTGAGCTGTGTTCAATTCAATTCAAGTCAGTTTAGTACAGCCCTAAGTCAAAACCGCAGTCATCTCGGATTCGTCAACACAAATCAAGAGATTAGCATTGTTCATCTAAGTACAGTCCATGCTCAAGGACTATAAACTGCATACATTGTCAAAGTTTCTCAACGTTTCTCTCCCACTGAAGCTGCACCCCCACATACCCCCCCTGCAGTAGCGGGCCCCTAAATCTACATATCGCTCAGTGCCCTTCAAAGTCTAGAACCGGTGTTACGTCGAGCCGCGTTTCCCCGTCAGATACTGTTTCCCCTGCGTCTACTCGCCGCTCCGCCCCGCTCCGCGCCGCTCCGCACCTCGCACGTGGCAAATAGTGCGCGTGCTTGTTCAGCACTCGTAACCAGCGAGCCGTGCTTGCGCGGCGAGGCAACTACAGACACAGTGAAAGCACCTGAGTGATGTTGGCCCCTACCCCACGCAAAACTCAGTGAAAAATAGCCACACTCGTTAGTGCTGGTTTGTGCAGAAAAAATATCGTTTGTGCTGTTTTGGTTTTTCAGGTATGACAACTTTATATTAATATAGCCTATATATATATATATAATATGATATGACAAAGAAATAAATAAATATGTATGTATGTATGTATGTGTATATATATATATATATATAGGCTGTTTATATATATATATATATTCACAAATATATATATATAAATACATTTATCTATCATGTGTATATATACATGTATTCCCTCAGTGTTAAACAGGGGAAACGCGTCCTTATGGCCAAATTACCCCCGTCAGATACCGTTCCCCCTGTGTTAAACAGGGGAAACGCATCCTGATGGCCAAATAACCCCCGTCAGATACCGTTCCCTCAGTTTTAAAACGGGGGAAACGCATCCTGATGGCCAAATTACCCCCGTCAGATACCGTTCCCCCTGTGTTAAACGGGGGAAACGCATCCTGATGGCCAAATAACCCCCGTCAGATACCGTTCCCTCAGTTTTAAACGGGGGAAACGGTATCTGACGACCAAACTACCCCCGTCAGATACCGTTCCCTCAGTGTTTAACAGGGGAAACGCATCCTGATGGCCAAATAACCCCCGTCAGATACCGTTCCCCCCGTTTTAAAACTGAGGGAACAGTATCTGACGGGGGTAATTTGGCCATCAGGATGCGTTTCCCCTGTTTAAAAACTGAGGGAACGGTATTTGATGGGGGTTATTTGGCCATCAGATACCGGTTCCCCCGTTTAAAAACTGAGGGAACGGTATCTGACGGGTGTTATTTGGCCATCAGGATGCGTTTCCCCCGTTTAACAGAGGGGGAACGGTATCTGACGGGGGTTATTTGGCCATCAGATACCGTTTTCCCCCGTTTAAAACTGAGGGAACGGTATCTGACGGGGGTTATTTGGCCATCAGGATGCGTTTCCCCCGTTTAACACAGGGGGAACGGTATCTGACGGGGGTAATTTGGCCATAAGGACGCGTTTCCCCTGTTTAACACTGAGGGAATACATGTATATATACACATGATAGATAAATGTATTTATATATATATATTTGTGAATATATATATACATATATATATATATATATATATATATATATATATAAACAGCCTATATATATATATATATATATATAGGCTATATATATATATACATACATACATACATACATACATACATACATACATACATACATACATATTTATTTATTTCTTTGTCATATCATATCATATTATATATATATATATAGGCTATATTAATATAAAGTTGTCATACCTGAAAAACCAAAACAGCACAAACGATATTTTTTCTGCACAAACCAGCACTAACGAGTGTGGCTATTTTTCACTGAGTTTTGCGTGGGGTAGGGGCCAACATCACTCAGGTGCTTTCACTGTGTCTGTAGTTGCCTCGCCGCGCAAGCACGGCTCGCTGGTTACGAGTGCTGAACAAGCACGCGCACTATTTGCCGCGTGCGAGGTGCGGAGCGGCGCGGAGCGGGGCGGAGCGGCGAGTAGACGCAGGGGAAACAGTATCTGACGGGGAAACGCGGCTCGACGTAACACCGGCCTTGTATAGTTCTTGTTTGAGCGTAGAGAGAGCTGAGAGGCTGTCAAAGCGAGGGCGTTCGTGTCGTCAAATTCCTTGATCATAACAAGAGCAGATTTCCTCAAAGAGACTGACGCTCACCGACGTCAAAAGCGAAAGTCTGAAGCCGCACGTGGCCACAGCGAAGGCAGCGCGACACAGGGACCAGGCTCTAACACAGCAATACAGCAGCACAACATCAACATTATCCTATCTTTTACATCTTTTAGTGGTTATACTATTATGAGTCAGTGGAAGCGAATTCAACAGCTGGAAATACGGCATCTGGAGCATGTGGATTATTTATATGATGATAACTTTCCCATGGACATCCGACAGGGACTGGCCTCTTGGATCGAAGGACAAGACTGGTGAACTAATTATTTATTTATTTATTTATTTTAGCCATCTGTTAAAACACATACAAGACATTCTATTCACAGAGTTGGCCAATTGCAACAAAAAAACAAATCAAAATTATTGACAAGGAGTACACTCAGAACGCGATGCGCAAAGGGAGTTGGAGACTTTATATATGTATCGGATAATATTCTACAGTTTATTAGAAAAGATAAGGAAATAGGGTTTTCTAATCCATTTGTCTGTCCCTAATAGATCTATGGGCTGTCCTCTCTTAATTTGAGAATAAATCTGGGTTATCAACGAGATTTCTAATACTTCTCCCCACTCCGTTTCAGTTATTGTATGTTTTCCTTTTTGTTTTGTTTTTTCGGGAACACTATTTACATGAAACAAACAAATAAATAAATAATAAATAATCGTACATAAAACGTCAAACCTTTCACGAAATAAAGTATAAACGTCAGCTATTGGCGACAAGAGTTGTATTTCCCATGTGTATTTTACAATATTTACAATTAAAGCATATTAAATTTGGTTTCATATGTTTGTCACTGAGCCTGAAATGGATTGTGAAGGAGAAAAAAACACTTTGTATAAAGAGGAAGCTAAGGGTAAAAGAAGTAATGAATAAATTGTTTGCATTGTTTGGAACCAATGATGTCACACAGTCCAGAATTATGACACTTTGTACACTGTTCACTTGATTCAAAAGGTAATTTATGCATTTATTTGGTGTGGTACCACTACACTAGCTTCTTCAACAACTAGTAGTAAGTAAGTAATGTTTATTTATATGGTGCATTTTACAGACCAAGGTCACCCAAATCGCTTTACAATGTTCAGAAATCAGATATTGTTCAAATCTCTCCTCGGTGATTACAGAAGCGAGACCAGAACACGCTGGTCCATTAAAGCCTCTGACCAAACACCATCCATTCACTAACTCATTTACATTCAGACCTATTGAAAAAAAATTTAGTGGAAGGGGAAACCCTAGCACCTGGAGGAAACCTACGCAGACACGGGGAGAACATGCAAACTCCACTCAGAAAGGCCCTGTTGTGACTGGGGCTCAAACTCATTACCTTGCTAAGAAGTGAGAGTGCTAACCACTCAGCCACCGTGTCGCCCACTCCTATCACTAGCTACCAATACCACTGCTACCACCACCACTACTATTACTGTTATAGAGACAGATTAATGAGTATTTATGTTTACTCATTTACTATTTACTTTATTTTTTATCAGTTTAGTAGAGGTGGTCCAGGGTGAGACACTCCTGGGTTATGGATGATGTCCTGGGTTATGGATGATAGTGTGTCCCGGTGAAAGTGAAAGTATGAGTGCATTGTTGTAATGTTGTGATATGTACTAGAACAATTTGCTTTTCCTTTTTCAGGGAAGTGGCGTCTAACGATGAGTCTGTTGCCACGGTGATGTTCACGAACCTGTTAACACAAATGGAAAAGGTCCGATCTCAGGAGCAAAACTTTCTACTGAGACACAACATGAAGATTATACATCAGCAACTACAGGTAAAACAGAAGTAGGAGTTATGAAACACGACAAGCATTTGTTTTGTAGCAATGAACAGGTGTTATTCATACATTTTGATAACGTCTGAAAATTAGTGCTTTGAGTATGTTGCGGCTTATTGCATTTTTGTTTTCTGGGCATTACAAAGCCAAGTGTTTTCACAATTTTGGAATAAGAAAATGCCATTATTTCTCCTCTAAAGTACTGGTAAGTGTGAATAAATAGTAGTAGAAGTAATGATAGAAGTAGTTCTATCTATCGTAGTTCTCTAGCAGTGTCATCGTTGTGCACGTTACAGCAGATAACAAAGGAAATAAAAGCATACACACATCAAAGAGAGTCTATTATTTAAGATAATATAATTAAAGTAAAATAATAAGATGGTAGTATTAGTAGTAGTCGTGGTATTGGTAAAATGATTGTCACATACACATTATATACAGTGAAATTCTTATGCTCCAGACCAGGGGTGCTCAATACGTCGATCGCGATCTACCAGTCGATCGCAAAGGTAGTATTGGTAGATCGCATTAAATAAATAAAAAATTACACATTCTAAACGAATATATACAAAAAACTCCGGGCAAAGTGGAGATTTTTGAAAACTCCGTTAATGCATTTGTGTGTAGACAGAGATAACCGGAGTTTTGCGTTCTCGCACGCCACAGTACCCCCCTAAATTCCTCTGATCACTGAAGCATGGATCATACTACCTTAAAAACTGTTCGCTGTGAGATGCTCGCAGCAGCGAACATCCTCGCTCCACATCAGAGAGCAGCAAAGTGATCGCGGGGACTCACGCTCGAAAACAACCAAACCAGGACTAAACCAGGACTAAACCAGGACTAAACCAGGGCCGAGGACGGGGTCAGTGCTTGTAAACATACGTCTTTACTCTGACCGTAAAAGTGCCGTTACCGGCGTCTGCATCAAAGCTCCGCCCACTTCTGTGTTTTTCCCCAACGCAGGACAGGACGTAAGAGACGCACGTGTTTGGAATGTTACGAATGTGATTGATAACGCAGATGTGTGGATGCAAATGATTTTATAAACGGAGGAGGGGAAATATTTGGATTTAAAAAAACAGGCATGGCACATGGACATGGCACCACAGTCAAATGACATCTGTGTTTTACTCAGTAATGTTTTACTGACACTTAGGTGACTGCACATGCGCAAACAACCGCGCTCAGTGCAGGAAAGCTAAACCACGACAAACTTGTCAGCGAGTTACCACCAATTTTCCGGACTATGCATCCCTGGCCGATTCAATTCAGTGCAAGTCATCAGAGTAAACTCGGGTAATGACAAAAAATGTACATAGGTAATTGTGTTGTGTTGTGCTATATTGGCCCATGCGGTTTTGCATGTACATAAACATACATTGTAGGTATAAAGAATATTTTTTGAAATAAATATATGATTTGCATTTTTGTAGTAGGTAGATCATTTTGACTTGATCCTTTTATAAGTAGCTCGCATGCTGAAAAAGTGTGAGCACCCCTGCTCCAGACGTTCCATGTTCAGAACGTAAAGTAAAAGCTAAAAGGTTGCAGACTCCTGCTGAAAAGGTGTCAATGAATTACCACACCACACAAAGCTACTAACACAAAAAACTGCTGTGAAAGGTATAACAGCAGCCCACCTTCCCAGTTCTTGCTGCTCAGAGGATGTTGCAGTAATTTGTCATTGCAGTAATATTATAAACTTCTTTATATTATGACGATAATTAGAGATGGATAGATTGATACTTTATTGATCCCTGCAGGAGAAACACAGGTGTCCAGTTGCAGCAGAAACACATCCATCCAAAACCAATAAAAAGATAATTCATTGATACATCTACAGTATCTTGAGGTGTGTTGTTGAGTTATATGGATTATAGATTATTGTTTTGTTTGGACATGTAATTAAAAACCATCATGTTTGCTAGACAGAAGTAATATGCCTCTTTCTATTTTAAGGCACGTTGTTTCTGAAACTTGATCTGCTGAAATGGCTACAATTTATTTAGCAAAACATAGCAACAGCGTTCACACTTCCTGTCTTAGTCAAATCCAAACTTTGAGAGGAAATGATTGCACATCTGCGGCTTTAAGAGGAATGTTTGTGGTTTGATTAGATGTAAGTGAAATAAAACAAGCCTTTAAGTAGCCTTTAATCGAATCTTAATCTTAACATACTGTACGACAGACAGAATCTTGTCAGCTGACCGCAGCAAACGTTTCTGCTTAACCCTTTAATGGTTTGGTGGATCAATTTCACCTGGTTTTAGGAACTTTTATACTGCTTCTCAACTGTTTAGTAAAGACCTGTGTAGTATGTGTGCCTGTATGTGTGACTTAATATGGAAAATAGTAATAACAAATAACAAAAAAGTAATAACAAAAATAGTAACAAATGACACAAATAATACCTTTTAGAGTTATAAAATGCTGTACATTCTCTGCGCCACACGTTCTCTGGCTCCACCAAGACCTATAATTGACTTTGATGGGTTTTTTTTGTGGGCGACAGTAGCTCAGTTGGTAGAGCATTAGGGTTCAATTCCCACCTCGACACCTTCTCCACCGACTCCCACTGATGTCTGCTGTCATTGTGTCTTTGGGCAACCCCACATTGCCCAAAGCCCCCACTGATATGCAGCCCGCGGAAATTCAATTTGGTAGACGTCAGCCAAAGTTACCCCCTCCAGGCCGGTTCACATCCCCAGCCTATCGCACAGCAAACGCCCCCTTCCAATCACCCGTACCGGCCAGGCAGCCGCTTAAAAGCGGAGAAACTCCCACTTCACGGCCTCCCGAAGCCTTGCAACCACCGCCTCCCCTCCTCCTCCTCTTCACCCTGCCTCCAATCTGCCTTCAATCTGCTTCCCGCTGCCAAATGCCGCCACCAGTGCCTAGGTCCCGGGGGATTGGCGCGCTCCATCGCAGGAGCCTCTCCGATCTGAAGGCCGCACCGGGGCCTAGGGCGCCAAACCTCCTCCCAATAAAATACTCAAAAGCTTCTTGTTTTCTCGTCTCTCCAAATTGAAATAACAAGGCTATGCTCACACTTACAGAGCAGCCATCCTCCTCTGGACTCACCACCTACAGATGATCAGTGAGGGGCTGGTGCTCTGTGACTTGGATGGCATCTCTGACTGCCACCCCCCTGACCCAGAAATGGATTAAGGGGTAGAAAATGGATGGATTTTTTTTGTTATTTTTACTTCACCACAGAGCCATGGTGCACCCCACTAGACTAAAGTTTAGTAAAAAAGTATGTAAATAAGTAATCTCGTTTTATATAATGCCGTTCACAGACCAGTCACAGAGCACTGTTTACATTTGTGGGCATTTGTCTCTCACTCCGCACAGAGATGGGCGCACAGGAGGCACATGCCTACGCTGACATGGGGAGAACATGCAAACTCCACTCAGAAAGGCCCTGTTCTGACCGGGATTCAAACCCAGGCGAGAATGCTAACCACCCTGTCATTTGAGAGTTTATTCAAGAAATAGTCACAAGTAACAAGAAGTAACAACGACAATAGATATATTTATATTATGATATATTTATAATTTGACTCATGAAAAGTGTTCTACTTTTGGTTTGATACACTTGACCCAGTTACTGCAGAGTCTGTGTAGGTGAGTTTCTTCAGTCATTTCTCGACCACTGACGTCTTGGAACTTTTCCCTGGTATTTTTAAAGGGCAGAGGGTGCGTACGGCTGTTTTTTATTTAAAGCCATCATGCTAACGAAATGACTACTGTCAAGATGTAGCAGCAAGGCTTTCTGACAGATTTACAGTCGTGGCTAAACTTTATTTAAGAATGAATTGGTCTCAGCTTTAGTTTTTGGTACAAAGGCTAATCTATCATGGGAAATCATTCTACAAGGTCCATGTTTTCTTATGGCTAACAACAGTGTTCCATAGGTTGAATTTCGGGCTGATAAACTCCCACGTAACTAGCTTAAAAACGGTTTCTTCAAAATACTACAGAACTCATAATTCACATGATCCAGATGTTCAAACATGGGGCGACAGTAGCTCAGTTGGTAGAGCATTGGCCTTTAGGCCAGAAGGTCGTGGGTTCAATTCCCACCTCTGCACCTTCTCCATCGACTCCCACTGATGACTGCTGTCGTTGTGTCCTTGGGCAAGACACTTAACCCCACTTTGCCCAAAGCCCCCACTGAAAGATCAAGGCTATGCTCACACTCAGAGAGCAGCCGTCCTCCTGTGGACTCACCACCTGCAGAGGGTCAGTGAGGGGCTGGTGCTATGAGACTTGGGTGGCATCTCTGATTGCCACCCCCCTGACCCAGAAATGGATTAAAGGGTAGAAAATGGATGGATGGACAGATGTTCAAACATTACATGCAGCCAGTTTACCACACCTTCTAAACAGACAAACTGGTTTTTACTTTCATTTTTTTAAAGATGCATTTACAGGTAACCTGTCATTGTTTAGAGTTCCAGTTAAGCCACGCCCCCGTCAACCAAATAGGCATAAAGAGATGACGTCATAGTTATGTGCCGGTTCAATGGGGATTCCCCGTCGTTCACTATAGTTTCATAAATCGCATTCATGTTTGAGCTTTGTGTTTCAGTTGGAGGACACGGAAAAGAAGCAATTTTCGTAAATAAATATTGAAAAAGAAATGTCAAGATGTATTCCCTGCAATGGTGTAGGTTTGGTTCCAATCTTGGTGGGGACATTCACTACGACCTGAGTCTACACCCATTGACACGGGGTCCAGAGTTTCTCCCCCAGAATTTGTTGTGTAATCACACACTATATTTGCAATAGTGTGTTGCCTTCTATACTAAACTCAGCTGTAGACTGAATGAGAAGCAGTTATGTATGTTAACAGAAGATTAATCATCACAATTCATAATTTGCTATTACTTGTGCTTTCTCTTACTTACTTTCCAACTGTTAAAAAAGCTCCTGATATCTTTTATCTTATTTGTGGAGGTGGCATTTTTTCTAAATTATATAAGAAGGTATAGACAATCAAAAACAGACATTCATATACATGAACTGCAGAATCATTTATATAACTTGGCCAATGTCAAAAGTTACATAGTATTTCTCAATACAATGAGTTAACAAGAGTTTGGCAATAAGTAACAGTGTGGATGTTTCTATATTTTCTTTTTTTTATTCCACTCTCAACCCAAAAAGGCAAGTAATGACTCACAGGGCACAAGTATGCAAAATAAAAACTTAAATGACCTGTTGTGGTGTGTTTTGCGCACAACCAGCATGCATCGTTAACGCAATGGAAAATGTACGTATCCGAGCTTTAATTTCGGGAGCGCTGGTTGCGCTTTGGGAAGAGTCAGGGGAGAGACATGTCAGAGACACAGGGGAGAAACGCGGGAGATACGAGGGAGACCCGCACTTGCAACATGGTTCTGTCTGCATATGGTCCGAGCTCGGTACCATGTTAGAGCTGTGCTTTCACTGAGCGCCGCGGCTGTCATTACAAAGCGGCAGCAGCTGCACCAGGACGTGCACATTCGAGTGCATCGCTTGAATGTGCTTAGAGCAAATAACAGCAAGTGCCCGCTGTCACACATTTCACAGAAATTACATTATCAGCAGATAAAGGTTGTAAATCGTGGATCCGTGGAATATTTTTATTCCTAGTTTATCCTGATTCACACAACACACCCACTTATACATTTTGGATAGTAGGAGCACAATAAGTATTTTTTCAGCCTTTCAACCAACCTGTTTCTTTATTGGAGCCAGTTCTGTTCTGTCTCTGTGCCGTGTGAGCTCCTCGGAACATTAAACAGTGCGCTGACAGATTAGAAATAACGTAAGTACTTTGAATGGTAATAGATCTACAGTACTTTCCTCTGATTACTCAAGTGCTACAACGCTCAGGGAACGAAAAAAAAACACTTGCTTCACGCTGGCTAACTTTTAAAAATTAAACAGTCGCTCAGTGCTTCAGTTTGGCGCTGAAGAAGACAGCCAATCACTGCAGAGAACGGAACGGGTCACGTGCTGCTGCTGCTGCTGTTGCTCTGGAGGCGAGGAGGAGGCGCGACGTGTGCACAAACGGAAGACATGTGTCCCGGACCGTCCGGGTCACGGGACATCATGTCATTTTGGTGGGGACTTTTTAGTCCTCACCAAATATTGGTGGGGACATGTCCCCATGGTCCCCACGCAAACCTACGCCCTTGATTCCCTGTTCTTTATTTGACAGAAACTAGATTCACAAACCAGCTTTATTATTATGTCAGAAAGCTGTATTTCCTCCAAACAGCATACGTTTTCTAATAATGTCACCCCTTTTAGACTCCTTTTTAACATATATTTTTATTTGAAAATAACAATAACAGATACAGTCTCCTTTAACATATTACAGGATATTTCCATTTTCCCATTTTTGGCTTATAGCATGGATTGTCATGATGTGGATTATTTTTTGTGGTTTTTATTTTAATTATATTGGTCCTTTTCATTTCACTTGTGTTTTCACCTGTGTTTTCACCTGTGTTTTCACCTGTGTTTCACCTGTGTTTTCACCTGTGTTTCACCTGTGTTTTCACCTGTGTTACACCTGTGTTTTCACCTGTGTTACACCTGTGTTTTCACCTGTGTTTTCACCTGTGTTTTCACCTGTGTTTTCACATGTGTCCCTGTGTCTATTTAAACCCTGTGCTCCTCTCCCCTTGATGCTGGTCCATTGTGTTTTTTGTCCCTGTTTTATCTTGATTTGAGTTTGAAGTTCTGGATCCTGAATTTTGTGGGTTGTTTTTAGTTTTTGTGAATTAAATCTTGACATTTTGGCAGTTCTACATTTTTGGTCCGTCGTCCTTTTCGAAACGTCACTGGGATGTCAAAGTCAAATACATCCAAGGCCTGAAAACAAATTTTCTACAAGCCGAGGGCCGGACTGGTTCAATGTTTATTAAAACATATTAGAATTATGCATAAAACCTATTGAACCAAGACCTAACACAGTATTTTATTTAATGATGAAATAAATTATCCAATATTTTTCTGGCTCTGTCACTCATTTCAAGTGAATTTTTTTTTAACAAACAAACTTCCTTCAAAGAGAAAACACATTAACTTTAAATTAATGATTTCATATTTTCTTATGGCTCTGTGCGGCCGGTTCTAATACTAATCAAATATCCTGGGGTCAAGATAATTCATTCGTGGGCTGGATCTGGCTCCCGGGCTTGGACTTTGACGTAAGTAAAACCCATGGCTCATAGTACCTGGCTAAAGTCACCTCAATCTTTGTATATACATTATACCTATATAAAGGTAATAATCTATTTGTTATAGGAAAGATTTTGCTTCTGCCTTCCACCACAATGTTTAACTTTATCCTCTTTGAAATATTGTGATGTCATATGTGCCTATTGTAGCATTTTATTGCTGATTTTATCCTCCCAATGTTGCGTTAAGTATTTTTTGCAATGGAAATATGTCTATTGTAATTAAGATTCTATATAAAAAGGATTCAAAGACAGCCAAAACAAAATATATTTAGTGTTGTACTCTTCATAAATAAACCAATAAAATCTTAGAAAAATCACTCATGAAAAAAACAGGAAGCCAGTGCAAAGATACAAAAATAGGTGTGATGTGCTGTTATTTTCAGTTCCTCTAAAAGGCAGAGTGTGTTATTGAAGAACACTAAAACTTGCACAAAAATATGTATTAATTTAAGGCAAGTTTTGTTCCAATATTCATTCAAAAAAAGATCAACAAATAATTATAATGTGTATTTCCTCTTGCATTGAGTTTCAAATTTCAGTATTCACATTATTATAGACAGTAATTCAACTTTTGTCCTTATTTCGAACGTATCTTCAACACATTTGAACCATATTGTAGCACAGTCATGATGGAATATTGTTTTCCAAATGCTACCCACTTCCCACAGATATACCACACCCCTTCGTTTCAGTACATTCCGGGGTTGCACTGTAGACAAGACAAGAGAAACGGGTCTGATTAAAAAGCTGACGGTAGTTTTTCATGATTAAACTCTTTAATCTTTATGTCTATTGTGGTGATCTGATTTCATGATGTTGTATTTCTTTACTTGTAACTGGGGACTGCGGATGGAAAGGATTCAAATAAAGCCTAAACTAACAAATCATGTCTCTTGTACATTTACTGTATACTTATATATGTTTTGAATGTTGTCTGAAAAGAGGGACATTGGGAGGGCTGGGAAATGGCCAAAATGTTTTGATGGTCCCTGGTGTCCGAGCGTGCACTGTAAAGAATTTCCTTGTAGAAAATCGGTAAAAAGCTGGCAAATATGGTTCCAGGGATTTGCCGTTTTCTCAGCATGGCATTACCGTTGCTAATTTTAACGGTTAAAGACTGTTTCACTGAATCACATTATGCCTTTGTGATTTCAGGATATATGTTATATGTAATCAGTTTCATTGAACAAAAAACTTCACCGTTTAATTTAGTTTTCCTTTAATTAACACAAGTTTTCAATAATTTTTTAACATCTTCAGTTTCTACAAGAAAATAGAAGAAACATGCTTAAAGACCTTATGCCGGGTTTAAAAAAAAATAATTGTGGATATCAAAATTTCATGACAATGTCAATCTGAAAGAGATTCCGGCAAAAAAATCCTTTATTTTATAAAAAGAACGTGTTTTTCATGAATTTAAGCTGTCTATGCTCTAACCTGTGTGTGACGTCATAGCGGGTAACGCCCATGCATTGAAAACCATGGATCTATGCCACAGGACTGCCTTTTCTCTCTTCTCTCCACTGATGCCCAACACAATACTGCACTCTACAGGTGACAATTGCTCACTACACATAAATTGCCGTTTGAGAGTGAAAAAGTGTCTGAGGTGGGATCTGAACCCAAGTATCTGGATTGGCAGTCCATCGACACAACCACTGGACTATCTCAGTACCGTCTGAGTGCTACAATCTAGCAGTTGTCTGAGACTCACTGTACACGGCCTTGTCATCTTGAATATCCGCAAAAAAAGAATGAATACCAAATTGTAAACAACTTACAGCGTTGAAACGTACCCACTCTGACGTCACCAAGGGCTGTGAAGTTTTTTCGTCTCTAAGGGCGTTGCTATGGGGTTATTTCAATTTGGGGGGATCAGACAAAAAAACAACAACTGATTTTGAAACCTTTAGTAGTTCTCTTCTAATATAAAATGGTATTAAAACTATTTCTAAATAAATCAAACCCGTCATAAGGTCTTTAATGCAAAAGCCTCATTTTAACAAAAGCAGGAGTTTACACCTCTTACCAGGTTGCTTGCGAGCAAAAATTTTCCAGCATTCCAAAAATACAACAAGTTGATGATAAATTACGGTAATCACATTGTGATTTTATGGTATTGTAAAGTTTTTTTGCAATCACATTATAATTGTGGTAATAAAACACCACTGGATGTTTTTTAATCAATTTATATTTAAATTTGCATGTTTGAATTGTTTTTCAAAATAACATTTGTTTAATGTTGAAATGTCATTGTAATTTTACAGAAATGTGTTAAAGTGTGTGTTTGTTTTGCAGGTGAGGTATGGGTCCAGTCCGAGCGCCATGGCCCGAGTGATCTGCAGCTGTCTGAAGGAGGAGCAGAGGATCCTGGAGAGCGCCTGTATGCAACAACAGGTGTGTTTGTGTGTGCGTGTACGTGTCTGTGTGTGTGTGTTTGTAAATTAAATCTAATCCAATGTCAATATTTGTTTGTTTTGCTTCAGGGACCACTGGAAAAGTCGCTGCAGAACTCTGTGGCTTTGGAAAGACAGAAAAATACGGACAACAGAGTAGGTCTGATACGGAGCAGTGCACAGGTGAGAAAAACACATAAACTTATACAAAACACACATACACACATATAGAAAACACACACACACACATAGAAAACAGAAACAAACCCATAGTAAGAACACATACAAAAAGAAAACATACAAACATAAGCAACATATAAAAGTTCTTATTAATTTCCTCTGAGGTTGGTGTGTTTGAACGCACATGTAGTTAAAGGAGCTGTACCCGTTTCTGTAAGGTTTGAATGTTTAGCACCGCCCCCAACTCGCTCACAGGCTTCTCATTTCCCCTACGCTCTCATCCCACGGAGCCATCTAGTTTTATTTGCGATCTATATGCAAACGTTAGCATGAGCGCAACTTCTTTGTAAGCTGTACAACAATGAAATGGTACAAAAGTAATGCACTGCTAACAAAATATATCACTGAAAGATTACCGCTAGTTCCACGTCTGAATGTGGTCCAAGCATAGATAGTCCGAGGCGGTCCTGCAGGTCTCTCCCAGAGACAAGTCTCTCCAGAGGATACGATGTAAGCTCGCTATGTTCACCCGGGCTTGATTTCTTCTTTGATCATTTATTCGCTTTAGTTCTTCCCTCTTCTCTTCCTCACTGTTGTGTCGTTTGGGCTGTTTTGCTGTGTCTGCAGTTACAGAAAGAGGAGTTATAGCCAATTCTGCTAACATGCTACTGTGTTTAGCAGCGCTGTAGAGGCTAGAGGACAAAGCCTCATTTTGTGATTGGAGGAGAGCAGGCGTCACGCTAAGTCTCTACTCAGCACTTTTATACGGCCTGAATTCATACACAAGCTGAATCCATGAGTTCAAGTTTTCAATTAAATTACGGATTATGATACAATTTGTAGGTAGTAATAAGCCTTTTTATGAACTCAAAACAAAAACTAAAAAATCTGGTATAGCACCTTGAAGGCAAGACCTAAGGAAGTCCTTAAAGTTATTAAGATATTTCTGACTAATATCTATTGTTATTGATATATTCACTACTTACAATTGATTGTATCATTATAATAAAGTAAATTTGTTTTTCTGTAGCTCTTGGACCAAGCTGTGAAGTTCATCGAGGACATGCAGGACGACTTTGACTTTCGTTACAAGACGCTTCAGTCCCGAGGTTTTACTTTTCCCTTTTTCTTTTTGTATCAGAATTATTTGTATTGCAATTCTAAGAAACAGGAAGTTCCAAACTAGCACTCTCCTTTGAGATATGGTGCAAACATGTTATAAATAAATAGGTTCGGGCAACACGGTGGCTGAGTGGTTAGCACTCTCGCTTCTAAGTAAGAAGATCCTGGGTTCAAATCTTGGTCGGAGCAAGGCCTTTCTGAGTGGAGTTTGCATTTTCTGTGTAGGTTTCCTCCGGGTGCTAACATGTGCAATAGGCATGCACCTCTTGTATGGCGACCTCGCTCCATCTCAAATGCCCACAACACTGACTCTGGTCTGTGAAAGGAAAATGACATGTGAAGAGACTTTGAGTGTCCTGAATCCGATGCATATTATTATTTTCACATAATTTGACAATATTTCAATTATTTTCACACTTAAAGTTGTTTTTACAGGGATTCATGCCTCTTTGAGTTGTTTATCTCATTCCATGCCCATGACACAGACCCCCATCTTTGCTCCTCCTCTTTGTCTTTATGAGGAGGCACTAAATCTATTTACAGAAAAATACAAATAGGCTTTTCTCATGAATACATTGTTTTCTGCATTGGGATTGCACTAGATCCACAGCCACTGGTCTCATAGAGGATCATATATATATTTATATTATGTGTTGTTAAATCATAGTTTGATGTCTTTGCTACACAGGATACTATGCAGCATCTGTGTATAGAACATTTTGTGTTTTATAGACACGGAGAGGAACTCGGATCATATGAAACAGGAAGTAACACGTCTCCAGGAAATGCTCAACCGACTGGACTATAAGAGAAAGGTAAACACTAAACAAAACCTGGTGAAAATTCACTCTTTCACTTCTCACCAAATCGAAATGATGTGATTATTCCTCATTATTCATACAAATGAATTTTGTATGTACAAAGGTTATTTTGCAAGATGTTGTTGTACATCTTTGCCATGTTTTTGTGGAGTTCAGCGGATTTTTTACTGCCAAAGCTCTTTGCTAGCAATGAACAGAGGATGTGTTTTTTAAAAGTAAACACACAGTTAGCATCTGAGCTAAAGGCTCTTTGAGCAGTATTTAAGACCTACAAATCCAGAGATATCATCTTCTGAAGCGCTGACAGGTCTCCGAGGGCCCCACGCATCTGCAGCACAGTGGAGGCGTCACAAGAGGCGCTACAGGAGTCCCGGCCTCCGTTGTGTGTAACTTCTACAGAGGGACTGTAGAGAGCATCCTGACCAGCTCCATCATTGTGTGGCACGGCACCAGCACTGCCTCCTGCCGAAGGAGCCTCCAGCGCATCGTGAGAGCAGCAGAGAAGATCTGTGGAGCCCCTCTCCCCACCATTAAAGGCACACCGCGGACTTTGTGACCTAAAGAGTTGACACATATGAGTTATTTTATATGAATACTTGGGCCAATATACAGCGCTTGACACTTGCAATGCTCCGAGCGGGGCTGCCCTCTTGAAATACCGCCCATGTAAGTTTCGAGCAGACGGACCGTCTGCCACCAGGTCACGTGACTTGGAAGAAAGACTTGCTTTACGGCTACAGGCGCTGATATACTCATGGAGCTAAGGCTTTTGCTACTCATTTTTCCCCTGCTCGACTCCTGGTCATGGCTGAGGCAAGGAAAAATTTTAAACCTTCGGAGGAGGCTAAAAAGAGGAAACGCGAAAGGGATCGTGCTGTAAGCTGCATGTCTGTATGAGCGCTGCTCTTCACCTGGTTCCTGGATGTCATCGACTGCAAAGATGTCATTCCACGCAGCACGAGCTAGACGCAGAACTCCCTCATCCAGGATATAGAAGTCCATGTGTGGTAGATTACTAATGCAGCGGTCTGGAGGCTGACCACAGCAGAGTCTCTCAATATCTGTAGGCATGTCTCTACAGTTTGAACACACACACCAGTGCATGCTGTCTGAATACACACTCAAAAGACACCGGCTGACTGTTTGTTGACTTTTGCGACAGTGCTGAGTTGCTTGTGGCCACTAGGGGCGCTAAACGTGAAAGTTGCAGGTCTAGCGCCCCTAGTGGCCAAGAGTTACACGGTGTTCCTTTAAAGACATGTACTCCACCCGTCTCACCCGCAAAGCCGTCAGAATCACCAGGGACCCTACGCACCCATCACACAGGCTCTTTAGGGTAATGCCTTCAGGGAGGAGACTGCGGAATTCACGGAACAGTTCCAGTCGACTTAAAAACAGTTTCATTCACAAGGCCATCAGGAAGCTGAACTCCCTGCCCTCCCTCCCACCCCTCTTCCCCCACCCCCCGCTCCACAATCAAGGATGAGAGAAATATAATTTCAAACCAGTCACTTGGTTTGACAAATAAAAATCTTGAATCTTGAATCTTGAAAACATACTTGAGACAAAGATAATGCAATTTACAACCATTATTCCTTTAATATGATTGGACCATGTTTAGTTTTATACCTTGTGCTACGCTGACCCACCACAGTGATTAAAAGTAGAACCTTTCAGAGAAACAAGAGTCTAAACGACCAAGAGCTGGTCATGTTTGGAAAAATCAAAAATCCTCTCAATTATTATTATTATTATTTTTTTTTTTTTTAACTCTGTGGTGGGTCACTTTGAATGAATACTTTATTTCAACCCATGGCAAACAAGAACAAATAACAACAGAATAGAAAAAGAAACAATACATGATAATATACATATATACAATATTGTAAGTTACTTTAATTTTAATTTTGTGGTTGCTACAGCTTTTAAACAAATAATTCTACGCTAGGCGGGGGTGTCTATCATGAGAACTTATTTACATACAAAACATGCAAAGTTTGTCATCACTCCCACATTTTGAAACATTCATTCATTTTCAACCCCTTTATTGGTCAATTTCTGGGTCGGGGGAGTGGCAATGAGAACTGCCACCCAGTGTCTTGCCCAAAGACACAACGACAGTAGACATTAGTGGGAGCAGTTAGGTCTTCAGGGTCAAAGGCCAATGCTCTACCAACTGAGCTACTGTCGTCCCACATTTTAAATCTACCCTGTTTTCTTTTTTTTGTACTGTGTTTATTGTAGAAATGTTGCCCCCCTCTCCCCCCTCCCTGATGACGAAAAAGAAAAGTCCTGTCTATAGTTGTAATTGAACCTTGGACTATGTTAGAGATGTGAGAGTGCTAACTACTCAGCCACTGTTCATTTCATTTTAAATTTTTAATTCACATTCACAAACAAGGCATGTCAAAGTAAATAGTCCCATGTTTAGGAGCTATAATGAATCCAAACGTTGTAGGAGGTGCTGTCGAAGATGGACATTGTGGTGAAGGAGATCGACGACGTGATGAACTCGGCGTTGTACCCGGAGCTGCAGGACTGGAGACGCAGGCAGCAGATCGCCGCCATCGGAGGACCTCGGCTCACCGGCCTGGAGCAGCTGCAGACCTGGTACAGCTCCAAACACACTCATTAAAACAAAAAGCGCAAGAAAATTGAAACAAAAAGTGCAACAAAAGCACAACAAAAGCGCAAGAAAAGTACTACCAAAGCGCAAAAAATATGAAAAAGTGCAACTAAAGCACAACAAAAAGTGCTACAAAAAGTGCAACAAAAGTACAACTAAAGTGCAAAAAAAATTCTATAAAAGTAAAAAAAAGTGCAACAGTACAACAAAAATGCCACAAAAGTTTAAAAAAAAGTACGAAAAATGCGACCAAAGTGCAGAGAAGTGTTACGCCACTATATTCTTTTATTCTCCTCCAGTGCTTTTTGTCTGAACCAAATAGAAGATAAACTCCGGCTTTAAGTCCAGAACCAAGCTACATTTAAGATGGAAATTCTATCATTACACTAGAAGTCCAAAGCTTTAAAACACAGTATAGTTTGAGTGACAGACCATATTTCTCCAGCTGAGGATACCACTGAGAGTAAAGGTGGGCTTATATATCAATAATAATGTATTGTTTTTTTGTACACAATCTCACAATGAGTGACCCGAAATGTTAACCCTATTTTTGGTTGTTACCCTGTCTCTTATATTCCCAGGTTCACGTTGACGGTGCAGAGCCTGTTCCAGATCAAACGACAGCTGGATAAACTGGGAGAACTGGTTTTGAAAGTGACGTATGAGAGCGACCCCATCCCACTGCAAAAGCCCCAACTGGAAGAGAAAATCAAGTACCTCATCTACCACCTCATCAAGAGGTGTAGTGGAAATCCATACTTCAATATTATTATTAAAATAGTAAAGAAGACAGTGAATACAAAAGCAATTTAGTCTCTCTGAAGGATCGAGCTGGCTCGGACAAACTATAAAAAGGTTTGGTGTCCTCCATTAATTGATGGATAGACTCAGATAATAATATTGCCATTACAAAACACAGCTATTTTTTACAGTTTGAGTTCAACAGGATATGGTTTATTTGATGTTGTAAAAGGGCGAGGTTGACGCGTACACCCAAATCTGAAAATAATTGAAAATGATAGATGAAAAAATGGCTCTGCACAACTTTAGCTTCCCACAAAATATTATATTTGCTCCACAAGATGTGACCCTTCATCAGACATGTTATTTGATGTTGTAGAGAGTGATTATTGTCCGGTCTCTATTCTTGGGTTTTATTAAACTGGCCGGTAGGGGGCGAGTGAGCAGAGGTGGGACAACTCAGTTTTGCTCCCATTGAAGACCATGTAAATCGTGTCTGTTTTGGAGTCAAAAGGCTCTCATCCTGTGCGGTGTACGGTTGTTGTAACAGTCTTAATCAGGAGGGGGACACTCAATTCTAAGGGAGTACTAAAAATATTTCTCAAAAGAGTCTTGATTTCGGGCATTTTTGAAAAAAAAATAAAAAAACAGAAGAAATGGCTGCATTTCATTCGGGTGGCCTGCAGGGGGCGCTTATCTGGGAAAGCCTTGATCCACCTCGCCTGCCTCATTCGAGTGATTTTTTCAGAATGTACTCCTTTATATGAGACCGCAGTTAGACACGAAAGAAAGTCTTGTCTTTCTCTCTATTTGCGCGGTTGCTACAAGCGTACACCGCACAGAAAGCGCTTCTTCTTCTACTATATCTCCGTGTATAAACCCGGCAGACTGCACCGCCAGGGTACATCACGTCCTGTCCTACGTTTGTTATTCGCGCCACTGCCCTGACGTCATATGAAACTCAACAATACAAAGACAGAATTGTGGGTTTAAATGTCTTTGTATGTGTTTGAATGTGTTTGCATCAGTTCCTTTGTGGTGGAGAAGCAGCCCTGTATGCCCACACATCCGCAGAAACCTCTCATTATCAAAACAGGAGTCCAGTTCACCACCAAAGTCCGGTACGAGTCGTTACTTTTGCATCAACATTCACTGGTTAATCTATAAATAAATCTAATCTCTATATCATCATCTCTGTATGTTTTTTTTGTCGTCGTCCAGGCTACTCGTCAAACTTCCGGAAGTGGATTATCAGCTAAAAGTTAAAACAACATTTGACAAGTATGTAAAAATGTCTTCCATAGTTTTACATCAATGGGAAGTATGATGCGACTAGAACCCAATCTCACCTTTAAACTGTACTTTGTAATTGTTATTTTTACTTATTTATCTTTGTTTAATCCAGAATAATCCCACTGAGATTACATATTTAAGGGGAGTCCTGGTCTCAGAGAGAGGGGGCGGGAGTGGAGGTTGGGGAAGGTGACGCGGGGGACTATTTTATTGGTAGGGCATGTGGGGGATGTATTATATTTATAGGGGAAACCGAAGCACCCGGAGGAAACCCATGCAGACACCATGCACACACAGAAAAGCCAGGAGGTGGAATTGACCCCAGGACCTTCTCTAGTTTTTGTAATGTGTATTCAAGACGGCAATCACAACCACAACTTTTCACTTCTCTTCTTGATTATTATTTTTCCCTACGCCTCAGCAGCATTGGGCAGGCATTTTGGCACCGATGTTAATGGATCCATAACAGAAAATAACCATGCTCCTGTCTTAAATGATAAATACATTTGGCTTCTAACTTTGGATCTAATATTTGCTCTGTTTTCAGGGATCTTCCACCCGGCAGAGTGTAAGTAACAAATTGCTGGTTTTATTTTAATTTTTTTTATTCAACCTTTCAAATCACAAGAAGGATTTTCTTGATATATATTCAAGATTTCCTTTTCACATACACTTAACGTCTAAACCACAAAATATTGAACTATTCCATAACATCCATCTAAACTATTTCTATCACTATTAGCATGTATTAGCATTAGCATCTGTTACATCAGATTTTTCAGACAGAAAAGTGAAAAAGAGAGGACCAATCAATCATTCTCACATTTCTCCATTATGAGATCAGTAAAGTTTATCTTATCTTAATTTATAATGTTTCATAATAGAACAGAATGGACAAAATGTTACTTTTACAGTACTACTTATGTTGTGACAAAAAAATAATTACAAAAAAATGAAGTACCCCAGATTTAAGAAGGCCTATATCCAATCTCTACAGTCTCTGCCGTATATGACAGACACTAATTGTTGTAATTGTTGTAATTAATGTCTTTCTTCTCACTAGTCGCCAGTTTATTATTCTTACAAATAACACTAAAATCATGGACATTGAGGACTACTCCAACGGCTGCCTCTCGGTGGAGTTCAGACACCTGGTATGTCCAATGAAAACCTTTTAATAATGACCAATTTGTATATATTTTTTTTCTTTGATTTTAGTTTGAACAATGTCTTTAAATGCCTTGCAGCAACTAAAGGAGAAGAAATACATCAATGGGACAAAGGGAAATGAGGTATGAAAGTCCTTTTTAATCTAGTTTCGTGTTTAGAGATATCACTGGAGTCATTGTCTTATATAACCATGAAATTACACCACAGACATTTGGAAATCTGCTTTTACATATTGAGCTATTTCTTTACTGACTGAAAAAAAGGGTTTGGATAATGCAGTGGTTTTCCTCTGCTAAGTGCATTATAACTGTATAATGCACGGCTCTTTGTTGTTTAATCTGCTTTTACCATGGTCCTGTGAACTTAAGTGTGTAACAAATGTTTATTGACTTTACTGAACCGGCCAAATGTGCTCAAGTATAGGGATTATTAAACAAGTCTGACAACAAAACTTTTGCCTTAGCAATCGTTGTAAAGAGAAATGGGAACTACTTTTATTAACACGCAGACAAAACATTCACATTTAAGCTACCAATTTTAACTTGTGTCGTTGCATTTGTCGTTCTTCTGCTTGGTTCTCCTCTTCTTCCCATTCCTCAAAGGTTTTGTTATGTCCAAAATGTAACCTCAAAATCCATGTTATCCAGCGCTATTAGTCGCTACGGCTTGTCACCTAATTGACCGTTTCTTTGATCCAGCTGTTACAGTTACTACGGCAACAACTGTAGCGAAGTGATATAGAGCATGATTTTTAACTTACCGGAACTATTTGTGCGAAAATAATGCACAGCAGTTAGCATTGGATTTCTCACAGAACATGGTATAAATAATATTAGAACGTTTATATATATATTTGCTATAAGTGGCTGGGCGTTCCCTAAGAGATAGTGTGAGGAGCTCGGTCACACGGGAGAAGCTCGTAGTAGAGCCGCTGCTTCTCCGCATCAAGAAGAGCTAGTAGAGGTGGCTCAAGCCTCTGCTGTCACAAGGTAGAAAAAAAGGAGGACCCAAAATGCATTAATCAAAAAAAGAATGGCTTAATGGTGATAATAAGATCAAAGTCCAAGGTAAAAAACAAAAAAAGTTCAAACAGAAGCAGGAACATGGACAGACATTTCAGCAATTCAAGAGCACAGGGGACAAATAAACACAGACACAGAAGAAACTTATTTGGGCGGGCCAGGCAATCCAACACAGGGGAACAGGACAGGAAATAAACAAAAACAAACTGGACAAATAATTATGTCACAATAAAAGCAAGTACCAAAATAACAAAATCCACACCATGACATCTGCTTGGGGAGGTTTTTCAGGCATGTCCGATGGGGATGAGGGAGTCTGGGCGTCTCTGCTCAGACTGCTGCCCTTGTGACCCGGCAACAGATCAACTGGAAGCAAATGGATGGATGGATACTTGAATTGGCAAACGAATGTCTTTTTCTGTGATGCAGGGGCTGTTGTCGGTGACAGAGGAGCTCCACTCTCTCAGTTTTGAGGCTTCTTTCACGGTGCAGGGCCTCACCATCGACCTGGAGGTGGGAAAAACTGCAATTCCTGCTCATTTTAAAGTAGCAAAATAATCAAAAATCAAAAACATGGTTGGAGTTGTCCAAATGGTCTGTTTTCAAACTTGTTGCTACGACAAAACACTATCACTATGACATAGTTTACAGCTTATGGAAATCAATAATAAAACATGTGTTATTATTGTTTTATAGAATTGTTTCTATATAAATAATTACTTTATTACTTTCTACTAGAATACTTTCTATAGTAATTAACGCCTTGAATCAAGTTTTTTTTAATCTGGAAATAGACATAGACAAAAACTTTAGTCTTATAAGAAGTGCGTATGCTATTTATTTCTGATTCCGAGGGAGGATTTTCTTGTATTTTTAAAAACAAGACATTTTTTCCCATCCATTTGGAAATTATTGTTTTATGGCAGTGAAAATGTAATGCAATTGTGCCGAATTGAAGCAATGTTTTACTTATTTTTGTCAACTTCAACCATTTGAATGTCTCCAGACGTGTTCGCTGCCCCTAGTGGTCATCTCTAACGTGAGCCAGCTTCCAGGGGGATGGGCTTCAGTCATGTGGTATAACCTGCTGACCCACGAGCCCAAGGTGCGTACCCACACAGACACACACACAGACACACACGCACACGCACACACACGCACATAAACAAACAAACAAACAAGAATCAACATAAAATATCACAAAAAATATAGAACACATGTATTGGTCCATATGGAGAGACCAATGTCCATTAACGTTGATAAATGTCCATTGTTGTCAAAAAAGATTTGACTGACGTGTTCAAAGTTTGATACAGACAACAGACGAAGATATCCAAGTTTAACATCTGTATTTAATTTATCTTTACAATCAGATATATTCAACAAGAGAGCTCCTAAACTATCCATGTCCCTCGCTGGCCCTGTGCTGACTCTCAGCCCCCTCCTCAAGCCAGAGCATATCAGGAGAGGTCCAGGAAGAAGGGGGCGTGTCGTATCAGGCAGCTTCCGGTCTGAGATCCGCCTCCGCACCATGTGGCCTCCTCTGTCTCGCCAGACCTAAACAGAAATCATTCACACACACTACCCCTCCCTAATTCTATAGAAATATTACTTCCTTGAGATAAGACAGGAGACTCTCAAGGCTGTCCCTCCAGATTCTGGGTCCATCTCCTTCTCCAAACAAGGAAAGGATTAGCAGAATCAGATCTTGGCCCTCCCCAGATTGACTATCATTAACTCATATTCTGCACTTTGGACTACTAAAAGGAAGGGAGACCAGGTCTTTTTGCTTAGGAAAGAGACAGAGTTCAAATCAGGGTCAGTAAAATTCACATCTGCTTTTTAGTCTATATTTAATACAACACCATACATGTTGTAGAAAGTTAAAGTATTCTAGTTATTAAATTGTTAAAGTTATTCATTCTTGTTGCTATCACTGGTCGTCTATACGCAGTCCATACTGAGCCCGTTTTCTCATCCAAAAGATATTATACTTAGACTGCAGTAAAGGTTTCTTGTTGATTTCAGAACTTGACTTTCTTTGCCAATCCTCCTCGAGCGAACTGGACCCAGCTGTCGGAGGTTTTGAGCTGGCAGTTTGCAGCTCAAGTGGGACGAGGGCTGGACAAGGACCAGCTCAGCATGCTGGGAGAGAAACTACTGGGTATGTGTGCTTTGGATGGAAGCAACAATATAAGAATCATTGTATATTAATGTCTCCCACTATAATAGCGCCACTGCAAAAAATGATGAAATATGATGAAAATAAATGCTTGAATCGAGTGTTTTTATCTTAATCCGAGCACATTGTACTGTGTTAAAACGAGGGAAAATTAAATGTAGCCTTATTTGATGAACTGTTGCTTTATTTTCTCATTCAAAGAGAGACATTTACATATCTTTTTAAAACAAGATAATTTTGCTTTGTCGCATTTGGGAATCGTCTTTTAAGGCTCAGTCAGAATGTGCTCAAATATATACTTGCGAAAGTATTCGGCCCCTTGAACCTTTCAACATTTCGCCACATTTCAGGCTTCAAACATAAAGATATAAAATGTAATGTTTTTGTCATGAATCAACAACAAGTGGGACACAATCGTGAAGTGGAACGAAATTTATTGGATCATTTAAACTTTTTTAACAAATAAAAAACTGAAAAGTGGGGCGTGCAATATTATTCGGCCCCTTTACTTTCAGTGCAGCAAACTCACTCCAGAAGTTCAGTGAGGATCTTTGAATGATCCAATTGTCCTAAATGACTGATGATGATAAATAGAATGCACCTGTGTGTAATCAAGTCTCCGTATAAATGCACCTGCTCTTTGATAGTCTCAGGGTTCTGTTTAAAGCGCAGAGAGAACCATGAAGACAAAGGAACACACCAGGCAGGTCCGAGCTACTGTTGTGGAGAAGTTTAAAGCCGGATTTGGATACAAAAAGATTTCCCAAGCTTTAAACATCTCAAGGAGCACTGTGCAAGCAATTATATTGAAATGGAAGGAGTATCAGACCACTGCAAATCTACCAAGACCCGGCCGTCCCTCCAAACTTTCATCTCAAACAAGGAGAAGACTGATCAGAGATGCAGCCAAGAGGCCCATGATCACTCTGGATGAACTGCAGATAACTATAGCTGAGGTGGGAGAGTCTGTCCATAGGACAACAATCAGTCGTGCACTGCACAAATCTGGCCTTTATGGAAGAGTGGCAAGAAAGAAAGCCATTTCTCAAAGATATCCATAAAAAGTCTCGTTTAAAGTTTGCCACAAGCCACCTGGGAGACACACCAAACATGTGGAAGAAGGTGCTCTGGTCAGATGAAACCAAAATCGAACTTTTTGGCCACAATGCAAAACGATATGTTTGGCGTAAAAGCAACACAGCTCATCACCCTGAACACACCATCCCCACTGTCAAACATGGTGGTGGCAGCATCATGGTTTGGGCCTGCTTTTCTTCAGCAGGGACAGGGAAGATGGCTAAAATTGATGGGAAGATGGATGGAGCCAAATACAGGACCATTCTGGAAGAAAACCTGTTGGAGTCTGCAAAAGACCTGAGACTGGGACGGAGATTTATCTTCCAACAGGACAATGATCCAAAACATAAAGCCAAATCTACAATGGAATGGTTCACAAATAGACGTATCCAGGTGTTAGAATGGCCAAGTCAAAGTCCAGACCTGAATCCAATTGAGAATCTATGGAAAGAGCTGAAGACTGCTGTTCACAAACGCTCTCCATCCAACCTCACTGAGCTCGAGCTGTTTTGCAAGGAAGAATGGGCAAGAATTCCAGTCTCTCGATGTGCAAAACTGATAGAGACATACCCCAAGCGACTTGCAGCTGTAATTGCAGCAAAAGGTGGCGCTTCAAAGTATTAGCGCAAGGGGGCCGAATAATATTGCACGCCCCACTTTTCAGTTTTTTATTTGTTAAAAAAGTTTAAATTATCCAATACATTTTGTTCCACTTCACGATTGTGTCCCACTTGTTGTTGATTCTTGACAAAAAAATTAATTTTTATATCTTTATGTTTGAAGCCTGAAATGTGGCGAAATGTTGAAAGGTTCAAGGGGGCCGAATACTTTCGCAAGGCACTGTATATATATATATATATACATATTTATATATATATAATATATATATTTGCAAAATTTGAGCAATTTTTAATTCGTTTTTCATCACTTTTTGTATAGCCAAAGCTATTTCGCGCCACATAAACCAAATACAAAAATGTGACCTTTTTTGTGCAGATTTTCACATTTCATTTAGGTTTCTGTCCTGTCCTGTGTGTTTTGATGTTTTTTTCTTGATAACAAATGTCTGACAATCAGAGCTGACCCCACAAATACTAGAAATAATCTCTGGGAGGAAAATGTTTACTTTATTACTTGTTTACTGTCCGAGTTGTTTTGAAACTCATCTTCACTTTCCTGACACAGGTCATCATGTCTCCTGCAGTGACTATCAAGTGTCCTGGTCCAGGTTTTCCAAGGTATATGTTTGATGCAAAGGCGCCATCTAGTGGACAGAAACGGAAGAACTCAAAACTTAATTTGATTTTTCAGGAAAATGTCCCTGGAAAGCCGTTCAGTTTCTGGATGTGGCTGGATTCAATCTTGGAGTTGATCAAGAAACATTTGCAGCCAGTTTGGAGTGAAAAGTAAGTATTGGGTAATCAGATACTACTTGAGGTGAATAACCTCATGTAGTGTCTGGCTATCTAACTAGCTTTAAAAAAAGCTGTAATATTTGTTTTTATTTATTTTTTGCAGTCACATAATGGGTTTTGTGAGTAAAGGGATGGAGCGGACTCTGCTGAAGGACAAAGAACCCGGAACGTTCCTGCTGCGCTTCAGCGAGAGTCACGTGGGAGGAATCACCTTCACCTGGGTGGACCACGGCGACAACGGTGAGGCCTGCTTTGGCCTATATTTGGACATATTTAACTTATATATAATTATAAGTTTGGCACTTATTTGGACAATGTTTTCGCATTTGATATTTTTCATATAATACTGTGTTTGAACTGTTTGATTCTCTGATCTTTGTTGACAATTTAGTCCTCCGAGATGACCTCTTTTGTAATTTAGGGCTATACAAAAATACATTGTAATTGAATACTTCAAGAGTCACTATTGGGCTGAGAGCTGATTGGCTGAGGGTGGTCCTCTCTTATATATTAAATGCACATGAAAACTAGTGATAGAACCAAACTCTTTTGTTAATAAGGAACCAGTTATGATTGTGGTTTCAAAGTTAGGTACCCCAGCTTTAATTATAACTTATTTAATCTTTGAAAGAGAAGGCAAGGCAAATTTATTTGTATAGCACAATTCATACACAAGGAAACTCAAAGTGCTGAACAAAACAAGAAAGCATTAAAAACATAAATAATCACAGTACATTAGAAAGAAAGATGAAAATATAAAATCCCTCAGTTGAATGCACAGCTAAACAGAACTGTTTTTAACCTGGTTTTAAACATTGTCAGAGAAAAAACAATATAGTAACGTTAACCCACTTCCACTGAAATGAATGAAGTGAAACTGGAGGAATTATTCCAGATATGAGAGGTTTGTAACTATAAGTTGTCAATATTTTCCTTTTCCATTTAGGAGAAGTCAGTTTCCACTCGGTGGAGCCTTACACCAAGAACAGACTGAGCGCGCTGCCGTTCCCCGACATCATCCGTGATTATAAAGTCATATCTGACGGAGTGGTGCCTGGGAACCCTCTGAAGTTCCTATATCCCAACATTCCCAAAGACGACGCCTTCGGACGACTCTACAACAGCCAGCCCAGCAAAGGTGAGACCAGGAAGATCAAAAGTGATAGTAAATGTGGGAAATTATCAATAATAATCTCTTTTTACTGATTTCTGTTTCAGCGTATCCATACATTCCATCCACACTCATTCCCATCTCTGAAATACGGTGAGTGCTTCTGTTGGTAGAAACTCAGAAAAGGAAGTGGAGAGGGATCTTGGAGAGGGATCTTCTCCCAGGGATGGACTCAGACTGTAGATCCAGGACTCAGGCTGTAGAACGAGGACTCAGGCTGTAACATACATGTTTTTTTTATGCAGAAGCAGTAGCAGCAGCTCCAGTGTGGTCAGCACACCACCCCCGTCTCAGTCCCCTGAACCCCCCATGACTCCGGGAGAGTTCGACATGTTGAGCGAAACTCTGTGTTTCGACATCGACACGGTGAGTAGAAGACCGTCTACAGACACCTGATTTTACAACAGTTCAAACATATCGCCTGGTCTGTGTTTATAACTCTTGATCACTCCCTGCGGCGGAAGCATCTGGAATATTTGGAAAATTTCAATTAAAGAACCTCTTAATCTTTAAATTTAGGTAGACCAGCTTTAAATTTATTTTTTATCTCAGAAAACTGTTGAGAGACTGGAACTGGTGTGGAGACATGTGCCCCCTGGATGTAGCTCAGGTTATAACAATAACAGGAGACAAATTATATAGTCTACATTTGTGTGGTATTTTTGTGTTTATGATTTGAATCAGTTTGTTTTGTGTTTTACAGATGGCGTCTCCATATTCAGAGTAAACCTGAACTCTTTCTGCCTTCGCCCACATCAAAGTAAAGGAATGTTACCGAGCACAATGGAATATTTCATGCTGCAGAATTCGGGCGTTCTGCTCTCCCAAAATTCCATCCGATGGGCGGGGGAGCAACTGAATTTTGCGCTGCATTATGGGTAACACTTGCCTTCGCAACTTCCGGTTCTCTCTGCCCGGCGCATTTTCTCTAAATGGTTGAGTGTTTTTGTCATTTTCTGTATGCAAATACATTCCCGTCTCTAACTAGTGGCATATCGCACAAATCATCCGTCCAATTCACATTCTTCCCTCTTAGCTGAACTTCATTCTCATTGTTACCATCTGTCACTCGCACACACAGCCGTTTTCGTTCACTCTGCTCGCTGTCATCTTCTTCTAAATCTTCATAAACACCATCCGCTCGTTGAACTAGCAACAACAATTCCTCCTTTCGTTTTCCCACACTGCAAATACCCTTTCGCTTCAACCTTTCACGCAATTCAGGCACTGTCAATCGTTTGTTGTTTTCGTGAGCCATATTCGCCATTGTATGAAATCAACCGGAAGTGAACTGGGCAACAAACGGTGTCATTTTTTGATCACAGCGCCGCTCAGTGGATGAAATTTTGGGAGAGCAGAACGCCCGAATTGTGTTTCCTCTGTGTGTAAATGCCTAGCTTGTTTTTTAAATTGTGTTGTGTTTTCTAAAGAGTCTTAATGATGTTTCGCTGCTTCAATGAAATATGTTTTCATTATGAATATTGAACTTTTTTTAACTCAGTTTAAATGTTTTTTATACCTCGCCTCAAGAAGCAGCGGCAGCTTTTTGCTTCTTTTTAAAGTTCTCTTGTCACCGAAGGCCACTCGCTCATTTTACCTTTTGTGCAGCAGTGTTTTTAGATACAGATTCAGATTGATTTTAGTGCAATAGAAATATGATTTTGTCCCTTTAAAGCTGGAGAACCAAACGTTAAAACCACAACAATTTGAATTATGAAAAAAAAAAAAACAACAATCTTGTTCATTGGTTCTATCACTAGATTTCACATAATTGTATATTTTGGCCTCTGTCAATTTTTTAGAGATGCTTCTTTAGGTAGAAAAGTTAAAATTGAGAACCACCCTCCCACAGCCAATCAGCTCTCAGCCCATAATGTTAAATTGTGACTCACAGGGTTCTTTTTTACACCTAGAGCGACGCGGTGGCGCAACTGTCAGCACTATGTTCGATTCCACCGACAGGCCTTTCTCTGTGGAGTTTGCATGTTCTCTCTGTGTCTGCCTAGGTGCTACAGTTTCCACTAAAAAAATATGTACAATAGTTCAGGTTGAATAAGAGTGAGTTTGTGAGTATGACTGGGACTGCGGACGCAAATTAACCAATGGCAGCAAAGCAATCCATAGCGGTGTGTTCATTAACATTCACTTAAAAAATATATAAATAAATAAAAGTATGCAAAAGATAAAATACTTTCTTATAAGTTGAAGATTGCATGATGTGGTCTGATTTGTTCACAACATTTTTCTTTTACATTTTACAAGTTTTTTCTGCCTAGACACACAACATTGATTATTAATGAATCAAAAAGTTAGGTAGCCCAGCTTTAAGTAAACATGCATATACTTTGCATTTATTAGACTTTAGCCCTTCTCTTGGTATGAATGGAAAAAGTTGAAATCAGGAGAATTTCAGATCAAGATGTATCTGTTTCACTTACATACAATTCAATATGTATTTTTGCAGAAGTCTTTTGTTGTTAGTTAGCTGGTTAGCCTTTGCACCTGGGACGACATATTCAAAGCATGAATCATACAAGTTCCCAGAGAATCATGTGACTTACTGCGAGACGTTTGTTTATGTGCCTAGAAACCACCTCCAGCTTTATTTTCCAATTGAAGGAGAGAGGCGAGCATTACTTGGATTTCATTGTAATAAAAAAACAGTATTATACCAAATAGGCCTTGGTGGTACAGATTCTTCAGATTTACAATTATAGGAATAGTTTTGCGTCATTTATATCCATGTATCTGTCGTACTGTGACTTAATCCTCAATGGGAACGACTACAGAAAGTACTTTTCAAGATGAATTAAAAAAATGTTGACTTAGTTGTGTATAAAGTTCATTGTTCATAACTCTTAAATGCTGCGAAATAAGATGGTTTAATTTGTTGTTTAAAGCAAGCGTCACTATAATGGTATACAGTGATATATCTGCTCTTTTATAGTGTCCTCCAGGTGCTCCGGTTTCCCCTACATCTGAAATAATAACAGCTCAGAGTGAATGAATAAAGCACTAAAAACCTGTGCCTTTGTGACTCTCTATCTACAGAAAATATATCTATATAATGTTTTATTCTTTGTCTATATTCCCCTTTTCAAATCAAATAAATGTTTTTTGTATCGCTCGAAATCACAACAGTCGTCTCGAAGGGCATCATAAAATCGCCAACACCCAAAGGCTTGGGTCCAGTCCTCAGGTCCAGGGAGTCCAGGGTTCAGAGTCCCATCAGTGTGTTCATAGTACAGACAGAGGGACAATGGGTGAATACATAGTTCCTACATGACGTCACTACATACGGGGATTTGCCGACCCGGCGCCATTTGTCTTGGCATGCTGTGGGCAAAACAATAGAAAAAGAAGCTGAAACGTGTTAATGTCGTGATAAAGTTGAAAATGGTCATCTCCTGCTGGGTCAATGGATGTTCAAATCGTGCCGGAGGTTCCGTTAAACTTGGATTTTACAGTATACCCATCATTAGACTCCATGAATGTGAGAAGACTAAGCTTTTGTCAGAACAACCACGGAGGTTATGGCTTGCGAAGATAAACAGGCAAGAAACTCCCTCAAAACACGCAAGAATATGCTCGGAGCACTTTGTGTCAGGTGCGTATCGTATCTTATAATGTGTTGACAGACGTAATTTACTCAGTACTAACTTGTGTATGCTGATATCTGGTAACTTGAGAGTTTCATTATTTAGATTACTTTATTATGAGGAGGATCGGTGTCGCGTCCGAGGCTCTCGAGGGCAACGTAAATGTATTAAATAGATAATAATAGTTCTATGGTGGGCTAAAACAATGTTCACAAACAGCATTGCTTCTGTAAAAAGATCTGTGTCATAAAATAAACTGCTCTTTACGCCTGGAAAAATCAGTTCGGTCACCAAAACCATTCACCAAAACATGCGGTCAAAAACGCGGAAATAAACAATAACAGCAATCCAGAGTGTCCGTGTGGCATTAGCATTAATTAAATTAATTGTTAATATAATTAAAATAATTAAATGGAGCTCCAACTGGTATTAAATCTGAAGTTTTTGAGAAATGTTTGCATTGCTTGTTAATTTTTGCTGCATAATTTGATCAAATATGTAAAACATGTCCGTAGCACGTTAAACTGTGGTGCCATTGTATTAATATACAATTATTTGCTCAAAAGTTGCCCTTTTTTTCCAATTTGCGTTTGAATATCTACATTTATTCTCATTCTTCTGTTTAATGGAATGCACAAACACGGCAGCGTGCCATCAAAGATGGCGTCTCCGAGGAGGTCATGTGACATTCATTGGTCTGTGGGAACTATGTATAGCAATGAACAGACCACATGAAAACGAGGTCTGTTCATCCTGCAGTCCAAGGATGTGACGGGTTTAAAACAGTTAAAAACTGGTGGAAAAAAGTAAATAAGTAATAAGTTAGGAGTCTGGTGTATCAGATCATTTAACGTGCATTCACAACAGATTGATAGGTGGATTGATAAGTATATGTGGCATTAAAAACAGCACGACTCAAAAAACTAGTTAAAAGTTATACCCGATTTGTTTTCTAATTAGTTCATAAAAATGCTTTTTACTACATACAAGTACATAATTTAATTGAAAACTTGAGGTCATTGATTCAGCTGTGTATGAAATTTATGCCGTGAAAAGTGCTGAGTAGAGTCTTACGCTCGTTCTCCTCCACTCACAGAACGAGCAGCGAACAGCCTGCGTCCTCTAGCCTCTACAGCGCTGCTTAACACCAAGTATTCTTTTACTTATATATTGTGTTAGCAGTGTGTTGTGTCTTTTATACAACATAGTATGAAATGAACATGGAAGAAGACTCGGAGATGGGTTTCAGCTTGAACGTTAGTTTACTGAAGAATTGCCGGTAACTGACGCTACAAGGTTACCATGACAACCTGAGGTAACAGTGCGCATACACATGACATGGGACCAATACAATGTATCAGTCCGCCAGAAGATATAGTACCACCCATACACTACACTCCTCCCCTTTTAGATTCATGTTTAACCTCGCTTAACAAATTAAGCTCATTAACATCATCAATACCATGTAACATAGTATTACTCTGTAACTGTGACATGTTTTTTTTTTTTTTTAATATATATATATCAATAATAGCACAAGACAATAACTCATAAGTCCAGCCTTCTTGGTGGTGCTCTGATTCTATCAGGGTAGCGCCTCGGGCCTTGTGGAGTAGTCTCTTTAGGGAGTACTTCTGCAGTATTAGATGTTGTACTGATGGCAGCCTCTTGATTTGAGTTGGATGACAGACCTGTTGGGCGTGCTGGCTCATCAGAAGATGATTTCTCAGTGGTCTTGGGTTGAGCATTTACCAGTTGATCCACATGACGCCTCCAAGTGTGCTCACCAACGTCCACTTTGTATGTCAGCGGTCCACTCCTAGTCAAGATTTTTCCAGGAGTCCACTTGTCCTTTCGATAATCCCGTGCCAAGACTGGTTGTCCCACATCAAAACTTCTTGCTGTGTCAGTTGACAGAGTGCTGAACTGTTTATTCTGTACTTCCCTTCGCAGATTTGGCTTCAGGAGGTCAATGCAAGACCTCAGACGTCTATTCATGAACAGCATAGCTGGTGTTTGATTTGTTGTTGCATGAACAGAATTTCTGTAGACAAGGAGGAAGTTGTCCACTTTATGTTGTAGGGAGATGTCCTCATTTGCCATAGCTTTAAGTGACTTTTTGAATGTC